CTTCCTGGTCCTCTGATGCTGCTTGGCCTGCTGTGTTCATCCAGCTCTACACCTTGTTATCTCAGATTCTCCAGCATCTGCAGTTCCTACTATCTCTAATGCGTAAGTCCTGCCCTGATTTACATTACACCGCAGGTTTATCGAAATGAAATTCCATTTGCCACTCCTCAGCTCATCGGCCTATCTGATCAAGGCCCCATTGTACTCTGAGTTATCCTTCTTCAGTATTCACTACACCACCAATTTTGGTGTCATCTGCAAACTTACTAGCCATTCCTGTTGTATTCAGATCCAAATCATTTATTTAAAAGGAGAAACATTGTCAGAGGTGCTAACCTTTGAGATGTTAACCTGAGGACTAGCCTGCTCTTCTGAGCAGAATGACACAGGGAATTGGCTGTAGTGTCATGGTTGGTATTTAATGTGCAGCCAATATCTTAGAGCAGAGTGGTAATGACCACATTTTGTCTATGCGAGAGTTTGCTGTACACAAACTGGCTGCTCTGATTTTTTTATATTCACTCTTCGGACATGGGCATCATTGGCTGGCCAACATTTATTGCGCTCGAGAATATGGTGGTGAGCTGCCTTCTTAAACTACTGCAGTCCACATACTGTAGGTTGACCCACAATACTGTTATGGTGGGAATTCCAGGATTTTGGCACAGCAACAGTAAAGGAACAGCCATATATTTCCAAGTCAGAATGGTGAGTGGCTTGGAGGGAAACTTGCAGGCGGTGATGTTCCCGTGTATTTGCTGCCCTTGTCCTTCGAGATGGAAGTGGTATTCAGTTTGAAAGGTGCTGACTAAGGATCTTTGGTTAATTTCTGCAGTGCATCTTGTATATAGTGCACACTGTTGCTATTGAGCATTGCTGATGGAGGGAGTGGATGCTTGTGTATGTTGTGCCAATCGAGCTTTCTCCTGGATGCTGTCAAGCTTCTTGAGTGTTGTTGGAGCTGCATCCATCCAGGCAAGTGGGGAATATTCCATCGCACTCCTGACTTGTGCCGTGTAGACAATGGACAGGCTTTAGGAAGTCAGGAGGTGAGTTTCTTGCCACAGTATTCTTAGCCTCTGATCTACTTTTGTAGCCACTGTGTTTATGTGACAAGTTCAGTTGAGTTTCAGTTGTAACCCCAAGGATGTTGATAGTGGGGATTCAGTGATGGTAACACTATTGAATGTCAAAGGGCAGTGATCAAATTGTCTCATATTGGAGATGGGTTGAGTTTCTCCAACATTTTCTTGATTTGTTTTCGAGAAGAGTTTCGGCACCTGGAGATTGTTACTTCATTCCAGTAATGGCATGATCTGCCTCCCTTAATAGTAGTTTTCCAGTTTAATATATGACTGAAAAAAATGACAGGAGGGAAGGCTTCCGTTATGGTAGGCGAGGGCGAGAAACGTTTTTTTCAATTTGGATTTGTTGAAGCCATCTTGTGTCTGACAGGTCTTATGTAACATAGTGTTAGTGTCTCACTGTATCTGGGCCAGAAGATCTAGGTTCAAGCCCCACTTGTCATAAGGTGTGTCATACCATGTCTGGACATGTTGATTCGCGGGCCTTTTATAGTGTAGTGAGATTGTCCCTGCCTCTGGGCTAGGATTCCTGGGTTCAAGTCCCATCTGTCCCAGATGTGACCTGTTTGAACAGATTGATTGATTAAGAGAACTACAGTGGTATCATCCAGACATAATTATTATGGCTCCCACAATTCCCTCTGGTCTAAATGACTAGATTGGGACCAGTGACGAGGCACTTCAGTTATTTGGGGAGATCAGCAAACTTAAATTTTGCTCCTTTGAAAAGACTTCTTCCTTAATCTCCATGCCAAACATGACCCAGGAAATTATTCTTTCATGAGGATTATAGTTTATTTCTTTCTCAGTCGGTTTTTCTCATGTTTCAGCACTGATGAATTACAGATGAAAAACCTTGATTTCTTGTCTCCTCTTAGGAATTGTTATGATCTGAAATTCTCTGTTTGACAGAGTGTTGAAAAAGATTCAATAATGACTTTAAGATGATGTTGAATAAGCACTTGGAGAAGGAAAATTCGCACAGCAAAAAGAAAACAACAGTGGTTTGGGTCTAGTTTGACAGCTCCTTCAAATGGATGATAAAGTCAAGTAACCTCCATTGTGATTCTGTATATTCCCCATCCTATTCCTATTGAAAAGCTGGTGCTGGCTGTTTATGAAGTAGTACATTTTTAGCGATTTGATACAACTGGAGACACTGACCACGGCCAATTTATGGCTGTGTTGGTTTGGGACTGCAATGGCTCACTGTAGTGAGTTTACTTTCCAAAATATATTAATGAGACGTTGGGGTTTTATGACATTTTGTTGGCATAAGTTTTATATTTGGATGCTTTTAAAACTGAATTCAGATTATCAGAATGACAGAATGGGATTTGAACTTGTGCTTTGGATTATTACTTCACTGGAATAACTATTATGCTACCGTAGACAATCACAAGATTTGTTTGGGGGAAAGAAAAACAAATGTTTGAGTTTTAGTTGAAAACCATTTGTCTTTCCTGGAAGAATGACCCTAGGTTCTATTTTGTGAAGGCTGAAGTAAATATGTTTTATAATTTCTTTAGACATTATCGGAAGCGATCTGCATCACGAGGACGTTCTGGAAGTCGGTCCAGAAGTCGTTCACCCGCTGAGAAGCGGTCTAAACTTGGGGATATTAGAGGTCGCTCACGCAGCCGAGAACGTGATCGGAGAAGGGATCGCTCTCGAAGTCGAGATAGGAGACGGTCAAGATCTCGGGAAAGGAAACGGCTCAGGTGAGAATGTTATTGCTTTGTAAAATGAGTAAGTGGTATTTGTTTATTGAGGGGTAGTAGGTTCACTATGACCATTGTATTAGGCTAAAAGTTAATGTTGTTTGATAGCCTTGCGTCACCATATATTTTAGAGTTAAATGACTACCTACTAACTCAACTTTAGACATTTTAGAACCCAGAATAATTCAGGGAGGTGATGGCCTAGCAGCTAGACTTTTAATCCGAAAATAGCTAATGTTCTGGGGACCTGGGTTCGAATCCTGCCACAGCAGATGTTTAAATTTGCATTGAATAACAAAAAAAAATCTGGAATTAAGAATCTACTGATGACCGTGAAACCATTGTCGATTGTCAGAAAAAACCCATTTGGTTTACCGATGTCCTTCAGGGAAGGAAATCTGCTATCCTTAATAAAAATGGAAGGAACTGTGGATTCTGTAAGTTAGGAATAAAAACAGAAGTTGCTGGAAAAGCTCAGCAGGTCTGGCAGCATCTGTGAAGATAAAATCAGAGTTAACATTTCAGGTCCGGTGATCCATCAGACCTACTGAGCTTTTCCAGCAACTTCTGTTTTTGTTCTTGAATCTGCCATCCTTACCTGGTCTGGTCTACATGTGACTCCAGACCCACAGCAATGTGGTTGACTCTCAATTACTCTCTGAAATAGCTTAGTGAGCCATTCAGTTGTACCAATCTCTTCAAAATCTCAAAGAAATGGAACCAGACGGATCATCTGACATCAATCTATACATCAGAAAAAACAATGGCAGAACCAGCCCTGTCGCCCCTGCAAAGTCTTCCTTACTAACATCTGGGGGTTAGTGCCAAAGTTATGAGAGCTGTCTCACAGACTAGTCAAGCAACAGCCTGACATAGTCATACTCACAGATTCATTGCTTACAGACCATGTCCCATACACTACCATCACCATCCCTGGATAAGTCCTGTCCCACCAGCAGGACAGATCCAACAGAGGTGGTGACACAGTATGTAGTCAGGAGGGAATTACCCTGGGAGTCCTGAACATTAACTCCAGACCCCATGAAGTCTCATGGCTTCAGGTTAAATATGAGCAAAGAAACCTTCTGCACATTACCAGGTAACGTCCTCCCTCAGCCGATGAATTGGTACTCCTACATGTTGAACAACACTTGAAGGAAGCACTGAGGATGGCAAGGGCACAAAATGTATACTGGGTGGAGAATTTCAATGTTCACCATCAAGAGAGGCTTGGCAACAGTACTTCACCTCATCCTTACCAATCTGCCGATTGCAAACATATCTGTCTATGACAGTATTGGTAAGAGTGACCACCACTCAGTTCTTGTGGAGATAAAGCTCCGCCTTCACATTGAGAATAACCTCACAACCCACAATGGTCCCACAACCAACAGATCCGATCTAAGATCTGCAGTCCTTCCTCATCCAGTTGTGAATGGTGGTGGATAAATAAACAACTTGCTGGAGAAGGAGGCTCCACAAATATCCCCATCCACAATGATGGAAGAGCCCAGCACATCAGTGCAAAAGATAAGGCTGAAGCTTTTTCAGCAATTTGCAGCCAGGAGTGCCAAGTGAATGATTAATCTTGGCCTCCTCCAGTGGTCCCCAACATTACAAAAAGCAGTCTTTGACCAATTTGATTCACTCTACATGATGTCAAGAAATAGTTGGAGGCACTGGATACTCCAAAGGCTATGGGCCCTAACATCATCCCGGCAATAGTATCAAAAATTTGTGCTCCAGAACTTGCTGCTCCCATAGCAAAGCTGCTCCAGTACAGTTACAACACTGGCACCTACCTGACAATGTGGAAAATTGCCCAGGTTTGTCCTGTACATAAAAAGCAGGACCAATCCAGGCTAGTCAGTCGCTCTTGATCATCTGTAAAGTGATGTAGAGTGTCAAGCAGGACCTGCTCAGCAATAACCTGCTCAGTGATGCCTAGTTTGGGCTCCTCCAGGGCCACTTAGCTCCTGATCTCAGTGCAGCCTTTGTTCAAACATGGACAAAAGAGCTGAGTTCCAGAGGTGAGGTGAGAGTGATAGCCCTTGATATAAAAGTTGCATTCGACAGAGTGTGGCATCAAGGAGCCCTAGCAGAACTGGAATAAATGGGTACCAAAGGGCAGACTGTCTGCTGATTGGAGGCAGGCCTGGCACATGGGAAGATGGTCATAGTTGTTGGAGGTCAGTCATCTCAGCCGCAGGACATTTCTACAGGAGTTCCTCAGGGTGATGTCCTAGGCCCAACCATCTTCAGCTGCTTCATCAGTGACCTTCCCTCCATCATAAGATCAGAAGTGTGGCGATTGAGCAATGTTCAGCACCATTCATGACTCCTAAGCTACTGAAGCGTTCCATATTCAAGTGAAACAAGATCTGGACAATATCCAGGCATTGGCTGACAAGTGGCAAATAACATTCATGCCACACAAATGCCAGGCAACAGAAACATAGAAAATAGGTGTAGGAGTAGGCCATTCGGCTCTTCAAGCCTACACCACCATTCGATACGATTGTGGCTGATTATGTAATCTCAGTATCCCATTCCTGGTTTCTCTCCATACCCCTTGATCTCTTTAGCTGCAAGGGCCACATCCAACTCTCTCTCGAACATATTCAATGAACTGGCCACAACAGCTTCCCTGTGGGAGAGAATTCCACAGGTTCACAACTCTGAAGAAATCCTTCCTCATCTCAGTCTTGAATGGCTTACCCCTTATTCTTACACTGTGACCCCTAGTTCTGGCCATCCCCAACATCGGGAACATTCTTTCCATATCTAGCCTGTCCAGTCCCATCAGGATTTTATACGTTTCTATGAGATTCCTCCTCACTCTTCTAAATTCCAGTGAGTACAAGCCCAGTTGATCCAGTCTTTCCTCATATGTCAGTCCTGCCATCCCGGGAATCAGTTTGGTGAACCTTCTCCAACAATAGACAATCTAAACACCACCCTTGACATTCAATGGCAATACCATCACTGAGTATGCCACAATCAACATCGTAGGGGTTACCATTGACGAGAAACTCAACTGGTTTTGCCATATAAACACTGGCTACAAAAGCAGGTCAGAGTCTAGGAATATTCTGGTGAGTAACTCACCTCCTGACTCCCCAAAGTCTTTCCATCATCTGCAAGACACAAGTCATGAGTGTAATGGAATACTCCCCACTTGCCTGGATAGGTGCTGCTCCAACAACAAATTAAAGAAGCTTGACACCGTCCAGGACAAAGCAGCACACTTGATTGACACTCCCACAAGCATCCACTCCCTCCACCACTGACGCTCAGTAGCAGATAGTATACTATCTACAAGATGCACTGCAGAAATTCACCAAAGAGCCTCAGACAGCATCTTCCAAACCTACGACCACTTCTTTCTAAAAGGACAAGAGCAGCAGATACATGGGAACACCACCACATTCAAGTTCCCCTTAAAGCCATTCACCATCCTGACTTGGAAATGCATCGCTGTTCCTTCACTGTCGCTGGGTCAATATCCTGGAATTCCCTCCCTGATGGCATTGTGGGTCACCCCACAGCAGGTGGACTGCAGTGGCTCAAGAAGGCAACTCACCACCATCTACTTAAGGGGGCAACTAAGAATGGGCAACAATGCTGGACAGCCAGCAATGCCCACATGCCACAAAAATGAACAAAATAAAGAAGAAAAGAATGTTAGAAAAATTGGAATTAACTTGACGGGTGGCCATAACAAAATAGGTGGGAAAATATCCTGTTGGTGGATGCTAAATCCAATAAACAACTTATTCTATTCTTCATCATTTATCCCTCTTAAATGCCACAAATTTTTTTGCATTGATTACCTGAGTCCTCCTTTTTGGATGTTTGCAGTTTAAGGAAATTAAATATATTGTCATCATCTGTACCTTTTTGTTTTAAACTTAACTTTTGTAACTGAGTAAAAAGATAGAGTTAAATTAAGTTGTAAAGTAGTTATGGCGTGGTCTTTTGAACAGAGCAATATTTGCAATTGTACGCTAGTACTATGTGTGATATTGATGTGAAATAATGGGCTTTTTGGTTTTTAGCATTGCTTATAGCAGTAAAATAACATCAAAACAGTTTGGATACAGGAACTCTGAAATAATAACAGAAGGTGCTGGAAATGCTGAGCAGGCCTAGCAGCTTCAGTTCAGTCAGAACCATTAATGAATGACTCGTTGTTAACTGTTTCTCTTTACACAGGCACTGTCCAACCTTCTGAGTATTTCTAATGCTTTCTATTTTTAACCTATGCAAGTAGCAGCCTTTGACTACTTACATAAACCTACGTTAAATGAAAGAACAGTTTTTCTGTACAGTTTGTTGTCAACTGATTTTAATTCATTAGACATCTCTGATCTACGTATCAATAATGGTGAAACTGTAAATACTTTAATATAGTTACTGATAACTGTGCAAGCTAAAAAGTTTGTTGTCTGCTATCTTCTAATGGGTTGAATGTTAACAATTTAAGGCCTATGGTAGCATTTTGATAAGCTCAAAAATTTTTTAGTACCTTATTTTGAATTAATATTTGATAGAAATGTGGGAAATAAACTGTCTGACATATTTTAAAACATGGGCATATTTTAAAATATACGGAGAAAGCATTGTACAGGACTTCTCAAGTGAGTATTTTTACCCAAATGATCGATTATAATCTGTACAGTCACTTTGCTTTTGCTGTTAATACTGTTTTATCGGGATTCATGTTACGTGTAATGGTGGATGGTGGCTAATATTTCTGGAAGAAAAGTTTGTCCATTGAGAATAAAGTAAATAGCTTAGTGTGTGTTCTGTTAGATTGCGACATGGATTGTTGTTTAATTTATATCATTGCAGAGTGTTTTGATCAGCTCTGTTCCTTTCTTCAGTATAAGATGTCCTTTGCATTCAGTAAATATTGATGACAATTTTGAAATATACATAGCTTGCATGAATATAAGTTTTTACTATGCATTCATGTGCACACTTTCAGTTAAAAGGTAAATAGATTCCTTAAATCGATCTAGTAGAATACAATGAACCAGATCGAAGTTTCACATTTGTAATCAATCTGTTGTAAAACACTACGATACAGTGATTCAAAAAACATCTGATACACGTGCTTGTGTTTGTTAGTATTTGATAATTCATTCTTTTCTGCAATAAATCATTTGGGGGAGTTAACATATCTGATGTCCCATCGTCGACAAAGAAGTTGTTCAGCAACGAAACCGATAATGAAGTTACTGTGAAACTGGCTGTTACCAGAATGGTGCTTTGTGATTATCCCACTGATTTGTTATTTACATTTTGTAGATTGTGGTGTGGCAGTGTAAGTGGCAGGATTCAGTGGATTTGTGAATCTTGAAAACATAACAAAATGTCTTAAAGTCGCTATGTAACAGAAAATGTGGTTATTCTTCTTAAATGGTGGAACAAATAGCAGCCACACTGAATCCCTGAAAAATCTATGTAATTTTAGCCCCCTTATGTTGTCTAATGCAAGATGTAAAGCTGAGTATAATTTATTTTTGACTATGTGCTGTTTTCCGCTTACATTCCAATTGTTTATTTAGTTTTATCTCACACAGAATACCGCAGAGATGCAGAATGTCAGTGGTCACACCAAAGTGAGTAGATAGCCATTTAAACTTTACCTAATGTTAGGACTAGGTTTTGCAGTTAACTGACTGCTGACTTTGAAGAAAGCTGCCCACAAAGATTTTATGATCTCTGTGGAGTGGATTTCTCTTTTCCCAACATCAGTTTGATCTTGACGCAAAGTCAAAAGGATCTCTAAGCATGCAACTGTGATGTCATCCAGTCAGGTAAGCAGCCAATCACATTGAAATATTCTCACAAACAGCAAACCAGGATGTAAAATATACTGATTATCCTTCACTTTCAGTGAAGATTTTTGGAAGCAAAACAATGATTGGGACGTGTGCATGGGATTATGGTATAACCTAAAATATATATTTAAATGCAAATTATTTTTTTAATTACAATGGAAAAAATCATATTCCATAAATATTAGATTGTCTAGGACCAGTGAGGCTGATCAGTACTTAGAACTTAGTGCACCAGAGAAGAAGCTCAGTTGCACCTCATTCAGCAAGGTGTTTTTTTTTTCAAGTGCTTTACAGTAAGACTGATAACATAAAATGACAAGTTCCCATGAGTCCAGTGTTTTCAATGATTGCCATCTGGGGAAGTCTTTAATGGTGAACTTTAAGGGCAGGCATAGAGTCACTGACGATAGCTTCAGGATTTCCATGTTTAACTTGCCATGTACAGAAGTCCACGGTTTCTGTTTGTTTCAGAAGTATATGAAAGCAAGCACTGAAAATTTCACCATAATTACTACTGCAAGATCTGGTCTGAGGGTTTAGCCTTAGCTTATTGGTAGCACTCTAACCTTTCAATGGGTGAGTTCTTGGTTTAGTTCCTATTCTAGACACGTGAACACAATGAGTAGACTAAAACTGCAGTACAGTATTGACAATGCTGCATTGCTGAAGTTGCCATCTTCTAGATGTGATATGGAGATACGAGTGTTGGACTGGGGTGGACAAAGTCAGAAGTCACACGATGCCAGGTTATAGTCCAAAAAGTTTATTAGAAACCACAATCTTTCGGAGCGCTGATTTCTAATAAACCTGTTGGACCATGATCTTTTAGATGAATAGTTATACTGATTCCTGTCCCTCAGCATTTTTCAAAGAAGAGCAGAGTGCTTTGCCTAGTGCCCCAGCTAGCATTTATCACTAGGCCAATGTAATCCCAAAAAAAATGATGTGGTAAATTATATCATTGCTGTTTGTGGGATCTTGACAAGTGCAAATTGACTGCTGCGTTTTCCTACTTGCAATGGCAAATACACTTCAAAAGTACATGGGCTGTGAAATGCTTTAACATTGTAAAATTATAAATGACTATATGAATGCAACTTCATCTTTGTACCTTTCAGAATATATTTCATTTCTAACTTTAAATTTAGTTTCTTTTAAATAACTTTATCAATGCTGTACAATGTTGAAAATGTAAGTTGATTAATATATTTTTACGGGAGGCTCCTGTTATATGCACTTGGTTGAGGAAATAGAAAATGTTAAGTGTAAGCAAGTTTTCATGATGGGAGTAGCTAATGCAATACTAAATTGAAACTCAATTTGGGAATTTATATGACTGTACAAACTTAGCTATGGCTATATGAGTTTGAGATATTCAGATTACCACTCGGTTATAACTGTATTTGATAGTAAACTAAACAAATGAAGGATGCTAAGATCTCTTGGTTTTCCAATCAATAAAATCAAATACTTCCATCTTGTAGACGTTCCAGGAGTCGAGAGAGAAGGAGATCTCGCAGTCGTGAAAAACGACGATCAGTAAGCCGAAGCAGAAGCCGTAGGTCACATTCTCAACCACGCTCTCGAAGCCGCAGTAAGAGCAAGGAAAGAAGGTATTGGTTCAGAAGATTATGAGTATTATTTGACAGTGTAGAATATCAAATGAAGGGAAGTTAACGGGCAAAGTTTATTCTTTAGTTGAAATTGTGTATGGAGTTAGATGCAAAACTCATTTACGTGAGGGCTTATATTCTGTTGAATAAATGTCTTCCTTCCATCACCAGAGAGGTAATCATTATGCTAAATCAGAGGGCTTTGGTAATTCAGTTGCCCATCTATTTACGTAACTTTGTGTTAATGATTTATTTTTAATAAATGCTTCGCTTTGAACATCTATTATACTTCCTATAGGGAGTTCTGCTATAAACTCATGTTCTGGCAACACGAATTGGCTATAACGTGATTGACTAATAGGGGAATGCTGTTTCTAAAATGCAAACTTGTGTTAGCTATAACGCAATTCCATTGGTGATCTTATTCCTGATGTTTTGGGAAATGTTTTTAGAAAGTATTGCAAGAAAAAACATTTGGATTTCAAGATTCTCCTCATCCTGGAAAAAGCGCCAAGTCATCCTCCCATCATTGGTGAGCTTTCTGAAAACATGAAAATGCTATTTCAGCCCCCAAAACACAACTTCTGTCCTTCAACCCATGGACCAGGATGCAATAGCAGCTTTTAAAGCTTATTATTTAAGGCACACATTTAAGAGGCTGATTTTACCCCATTGAGGGGGATAAGGACAGTATTCTTCAATTCTGGAAGAGCTTTAGCATCAAGAATGCAATTGACATTATTGTGGAGACCTGGAGTGATGTCAGTAACAACTGCATGTGTGCAGTTTGGCGGAAGCTCCTCCCAGATGATTTTTCAAGATTTTTAAACCTTTGATCTGGCAGAGGAGCTCCCAAGAATCAAAGAACATTGTGCTAATCTTGCAAAGCAAGTTGGATTTGAAGAAGTGGAGAGTGAGGATGTTGATGAGCTGCTTGAGTCCCACTGTGAAGACCTCTCTACAGCTGATCTACAACAACTTGTCGCTGAGCGGAAGTGGAAGCTGGAGATGAAGTAGTAGTAGTCCAGAATGCAGCACCACGAGAGCTTTCCACATGTGAAGGGCGTATCTACCATACTGAGCCAGTGGTGGATGGTGAGAGAAAAAGCCCACTTGACATTTGTTTTCACCAATTTACCTGTGACAAATGATGCATCTGTCCACAACAGAATTGGTGAGTGTGTCCAGCGCTTAGTCCTTGTATACCTGGGGTCATGTCTTCATACTGAGGGTGCTGTTGATCTTTTTTTTAAATGGCAGTACTGCTGTCCTAAATGGGATAGATTCTGAACAGATTTAGCTGTTCAATACTGGGCATCTGTGAGGCACTGCGGGCCATCGTCAGCAAAATCGTATTCAGCCACAGTGTGTTACCTCATAGCCTGACACGTCCATCAGTCTACCATTCCCATCAAACCCGATTCAATGAGGAATGCAGGAGAGCATGGCAGACACAGCACCTGGCAAGCCTGACAATTAGGTGCCAACCTGACAAAGCAGGATTACATGCATGCTACATAAAAGCAGCATGCATTGGACAGACCCGAGCAATCTGCAATCAGGAGATTAAAAAAGATTTGCATTTCTGCCACATCCAGTTGTGAATAGTGACGGACAATTAATCAACTGAGAGAAGGAGGCGGAGGAACAGGCTGCTCAAAGGTGATGAGAAAGGCCAGCACATTAGTGAAGAAGATGAGGTTGAAGTATAAACAAATCTCTTCAGTCAGAAAGGCTAAGTGGGAGATCCATCTCAACCTCCACCTGAGTCCTAAGCATTACTGATTCAATCTTCAACCAACTGGCTTCACTTCATGTGACATCATGAAAAGGCTTGCAGGTATTGGAGACTCCAAAGACTGTGGGTCCTGAAAGGATCCCAGCTATGGTGCTGAGGACTTGGGTTTCAGAACTAGCCCACCCTAGGCCAATCCAGCTGTTACATTGTTTCAACACAGCTGTAACATTGGCAATTATCTGCAAGTAATGAAAGGTGTCATTACCGCTATCAAGCAGCACCTACCCAGCTATAATCTGCATTTGATGGAGTATGGCATGGAGCACCCCTAGCAAAACCAAAACAATTAGGAATCGGCAAGAAAATTCTCTACTGGTTGGAACCATACTTGGGACAAACATTGATGATTATGGTTCAAGACGTTGCTGGAAGTGTTTCCAGCCTGACCATCTTCAGCTGTTTTATCAATGACTTTCTCCATTATAAGACTAGAAGCGGAGATGGTCATATTTCATAGCATTCATAACTCATCTGATACTGAAACATTCCATGTTCATTTGCACCACGATCCAGATAACATTTTGGCTTGGGCTGATCAGTTACAATTGAATCATAAGAGTGCCAAACAATAAACAACTTCTAAGGTTTTGGAGTAGATTTGTAGCTCGGGTTGTGGGTGTTGAGGTTGGTTGGCTCGTCGAGCTGGTTTGTTGTCCTGCAGACGTTTCGTTACCACGCTGGGTAACCTCCTCAGTGCAGCCTCTGATGAAGCATCGGTGTGTTTTTTCCCACCTGGTTTTTAAACTCTGGAGTCCATTGAGCTGGATTGCCTCACTTCCGGTTTTCCTTCGTAGTGGAGTGTATATGGGGTCGAGTTCTATGTGTTTATTAATGGCTTTCTTCGTGGAGTGCCAGACTTCTAGGAATTCCTGTGCCTGTCTCTGCTTAACTTGTCCCAGGATTTTGGTATTGTCCCAGTCAAATTGGTGGTCCTCCTTGACCATGTGGATTGAGATGAGTGAGCATTGGTCGTGTCTTTTTGTAGCCAGTTGGTGTTCGTGTACTCTTGTTGTTAGTTTCAACTTCCACAAGAAGGAATGTAATCATCTCCCCTTGGTGTCAATGTTATTTTCTTCACTAAACCCCCACTATCAGTATCCTGGGGTCCAGCACTGACAAGAAACTGAATGAGCCAGCTATCGTAAATACAGTGCCTACAAGAGCAGTTTGAAGTCTGGGAATTCTGCAGGGAAGATCTCACCACCTGACTCCCCAAAGCCTATCTGTCATTACAGGGCACAATTCAGGAGTAGGATGGAATACTCTTCTTTTGCCATTTTCAATAATACTCAAACTTAACATCATCCTTGACAAATCAGCCCATGTGATATGTATCCTGTTCACCACCGTAAACATTCTGCTCAGTTCACAGTAACAGCAGATGCTTCGAGACGCATAAGAGCAACTCGCCAACCTTTCTTTGACAGCGCCACCTGGGAGTAGGAGTGCCACCTGCAGGTTCCCCTCCAAGCCATATACCATCCTGACTTGGAACTATATTGCCATTCCTTCACTGTTGCTGGGTCAAAACCCTTTCGATCCGCAATGTCCCTACACCACAAAGTCTGCAGCAGTTCAAGACGACAGTTCATCACCACCTTTGCCAGGGTGGACAGGTGTGGGGAATAAATGCTGACTTAGCCAGTAACAACCACAGCCCATGAATGAATAAAAATCAAAAACCCATGACTTGTACCACCCTAGAAGGACAAAGAAAGCAGATGAATGGCAATGTCAGCACCTGCATTTTGTGTTCCAAGTACCCCACATTCTAAGATGAAGAGACACGTTACCATTACTTCACTGTTACTCTGGATCTAAAACCTGGAACTAACTTTCTAACAGCACCCTGATTGTACCTATACCAGGTGAACCAGCACTTCAGGAAGGCAGCTGTGCAAGGGCAATTTGTGATGGGCAGCAACAGCGACCTTATTACAGCAACACAGTAAAACTAAAATACTCAGTGACCCTCAAGTCAGACCCTAATGGTTCCTAACCAGACTCTTTGAATAACCAGTACCAGATTTTGTGAATAATTGATACCAGACACCGGGTCTCTAGCGTAAACAAAAGATGTAACAACTTATGCATAATACAGTGGCTTTAGTAGAGCAAAGTTAAATCACAAGGTAATCTAATTAATGTCTATGATTTAAACCCAATCCTCTTTAATTCAGAAACAAAAACAAATTGCTGGCAAAACTCAGCAAATCTGGCAGCATTTGTGAGAAGAAAGTAAAGTTAACATTTTAGATCCTGTGACTCATCATCTTTAATCCAGTCCGTATTCTCTCTCGAAGACAAATAGATACAGTTAAATGATAAATCAAAAGGGAAAAATAAATGAGATGTATCTGGCCAGCTCATTTATGCAGACTCCACAATCCATAACATCACTGGCATGTAGGATTGTGTCTTGCTTGTTTTCTGACAACACCTATACACAAAAATATCTTCCAGTACGCTCTGAGGAATATTCATTCAATTCTGATAACTGAGATTCTTTTCTCTGAACTTTCAATATGTTGATAATAGGAGTGTAACCTCCGTCCTGTAGCTTTTGCAGGCACAATCCTTCAGAATCTGAAAAGCAGTTCAAATTCTGGCCTCTCCCTGCCAGACTGACCATCTCCCCATGGGAGACATTCAACATCTGCTGGAACATAAGACCTCTCCAGAGCTGAAGTGATTGTAGAGCACTTTTTTTTAAACAAAAACATAACCTGGAATCAGTTTTATAGCTGACTCATAAGCTAATGCCACTTTGTTCTTTTTCTTAAAAAAGAAGCTCCTGCCCACAATCCGAAGGTCATCTTCAGCTCTCGGCTCAAGTTCATGGCTGCAAATGAAAATTGATTTTAAAAAATGAAATAATGAAGGTCTCAACAGTATTACGCAGGATTTGGTCTGTCTGAATCTAGTTATTGCTAGACATGGGTCCACCACTAGGTGGCATTAAATTGGCATTCATTCTCAGCATAACAGTTGGGAGAAATATTATTGCGCAGGGACTTCCGTGATGAAATATTCTCTACTTGCCTGGGTGGGTGCGTTTCCAACAACATTCAAGATGTTTGATACCATCCAAGACAAAGCAGCCTCTTGATTGGCACCCCATTCACCAACTTTACCATTCACTCCCTTTAACACCAATGTACCATGGTGAAATGTGTATCATTTACCAGATGCATCATCATGTCAAGACAGCGTTGCTGAGATAGCACTTTCAAAACCTGTATCCTCTACTACCTAGAAGCGCCAGATGTATGGGAACACCACCAACTGCAAGTCCACCTCCAAAAATCTCAGCATCCTGATTTGGAACTACATCATCATTCCTTTACTGTCATTGGTTCAAAATCCTGGAACTCCCTTCCTAACAGCACTGTGTCTTCCCTACACCGTCTACAGCAGTAGTTCAAGAAGCAGTTTGCCATAAATTTCTCCAAGACAATTAACCTAGGCAGTAAATGCTGGCTTAGCTAGTGATGCCAGCATTCCATCACAAATGCATAAAAGGAAAGGCCAAATTCATGTACGTGATTTAGGCAAAATCACGTAGCTGGCCTATATAATAAATAGGCTAGGCAATCGCCCCTGTGTCCAGAGGTTCAGGAGGCCTTATTTTTAATCCTACAACCTCTTTTGGAATAAATCCTAGCTCTGTTGCTTTCTGAATTTTCAGTTACTTACACGTTAAGCAGCATTAATTTTAACTTGTGTTGCTGGGATACTAAGTTCCCTACAAAGTCTTAAAAAAAACTTAGAGAGTAAATGGGCTTTAATCTGCATCAAACTAGGTTAATTTTGAGCACTGATGTGGTTTCTTGAAATTATAATTCATTAATACAGAAGAAAATACCGCAGATGCTGGAAGCTAAAAACAGCAAATGCTAAATATACTAGAATTAGACAGTATTTAAGTGGAGAAACATAGATATAAAAGTTAAGTTTCTGGTTGCTAACCTTTGGTCAGTACAGAAAAGGTCATTGGCCTGAGACATTAGATCAGATTTTCTCTGTGCAGAAGATACCTGGTCTTCTAAATATTTCCAACATTTTGTTTTTACTATATTTTATTATATTGGTGCTAAATTTCTCCAAGAAAATAGAATGGTCATTAGATGAAGGAATCGTTTAGCTAATATTCTTCAAGATAATTTATAAAAACAAATGTTCAAATTGATCAGTTTAAGCATGTTCACATTAGACCAACACAGTAAATCTAATAAAAACCGAAAGTTCTGAGGAAGGGTCACCGGACCCGAAACATTAACTGTGATTTTTTTTTCTTCACAGATGCTGCCAGACCTGCTGAGCTTTTCCAGCAACTTCTGTTTTTGTACAGTATATCTAATAATTGAGTTATGTGTATTTTTCCAGATCAAAATCTAAAGACCGTGTAGAAGTCACCAATGAGGCTGTCAAAGAGAAGAAAAAGGAGGAGAAAGATGACGACAAAGATGTCAGTGTAAGTGAAACACAGAATTTATCTAATCAGCAACTTCCACAGGTTTAAGATACTCCAAAGTGCTTTATAGCCAATGAAGTACTTTTCTGTGATTTAGAGAAAAGTGAAAACCACATTACATTCAGCAAGACACTCCAAAACACCAATGAATGAATAACCAGTTAATTGATCTATGATTTAAAAAGAAAACAAAATACTGCAGATACTGGATATCTACAATAAAGACAGAATGCTGGAGGCACTCAGCAGGTCTGGCAACATCTGGCAGAGCAAAATAGTTAACATTCCAAGTGCGGTATGGCTCTTTTTCAGAACTCGGGTAAAGGTGAAGTCCCTGATCCCTGGAAACCTCTCATAAATCTTTTCTGGAGTACCCACAATTGGATACAATCCTCCAGTTGAGGCAAATCAGTGTTTTCTAAAGGTTCTTCGTAATTTCCTTGCTTGCATAATGGATAAAGAGGAAATGGGATGAATCTCAATTATGATGTATTTTCCCTTCTTAAGCCCAAAACAGCACAGTATTGTTTGACTTAGTCCTTTCCCTTTTCATTCCTGACTATTACTGATGTAGGCCGAAGTGCGTCATTCAAACCCTGGATTTTGGATTCTGATTTTTTTTTAAGATGAAGTCAAAAGTAGGGCTTATTAAACATTAAGAGTGTAGTGCTTTGCCATTCCATCCATATATACAAAGACTGGAAATGGAGGCAGATAGGAGAGGAGATGGGTCATATGTTACAAGCTTTGGTAAATCCGGAGCCCTTAAAAACCAGTTCATGTGACTTTCAACTTTCTAGAGGTCAGTGTCCAATCATAGTTTCCTTGGTGAGCTGCACCTGCTAGTTTTCCTTCTTGAAGATAAAATTTAGGCTTCTTTCCAGCCATAAACTTAGATATGGAAATAGAGAGTCCAAGATATGTTGCCACCTGAGCCTGGTGTCCTGCTCTCCCTCTGAGGTCAAGCAACAATTGAGTTAGAATCCCAGAATTGTAGATATTTTTAACCATCCTGCTCAGAGATGTCATTGCACGTCTCTGGAGCAAGTGGGACTTGAGCCCAGACCCTCTGGCTCTGGTAGGGATGTTACCAATACTTAAACAATTCAGCAAGCTTGGATTTCAGTGATGCAACCATGGCAAGCATTTCACTTGCTGTAGCCACATCTTGATGGGCCAATTAGTAGGTCATTAAACTGAGAGTATAGCTTTACCTCCCCATCAGAGTTTTCATTGCAAGGCAGTGAGTAATTATTAAAAGCATTGTAGCCTTTTTGGAATTTGCACACTGGTTATAGGCATTGGTGATTGGCTGAGCATTCATTGCCCATCCTAGTTGCCCTTGGGAAGGTGGTGGTGAGCTGCCTTCTTGAACTGCTGCAATTCAGTTGGTGTAGGCATACCCAAAATGCCCTTAGAAAGGGAGTTTCAGGAATTTGACCTATGACACTGATGGAGTGATGATGTATTTCCAATTCTACTTGGAGGGGTAATAGTGTTCCAGTATATCTGCTGTCCTTCTCCAACTAGGTGGTAGTGGTTGTGGAACTTTGCAAGTGCTTAAGGAGCCATGGTAAATTTCTGCAGTGTGCCTTGTCAATGGTACACACTGCTGCCACTAAGCTTCTGTGGTGGAGGGACTGGATGTTTGTTTGTGGGTGTGCTGCCAATGAAGTGGCCTGCTTTGACCTGGATGGTGTCTAGTTTCTTCAATATTGTTAGAGCTGCACTCATCCAGGCAAAATTAATTTTAAACATCAAGGATTTTGAATGCTTTCCTTTGTCCAGATTTGGCTAGAAGCAGATGGCTCGTTCCAAGTCCGTTATCAGCTTTAGTTGGATGTCTATACAATGCACGGGGTTCAGAAGCTTCAGTAAATGCAATCATGTAATCAACATAAGCCATTTTATAAGTCCAGCAAGGTCTAAAAGAGCGGAGCTTCAACGCAGATAAATAGAAGAAAATACAGTTTTCTTTGGGATTTCTCTTCACACTCTCAAGCCATGACATTTGTGTAATAAAGTCAAGAAGCCCTTGTGTCTTTTAGTGGTTAGATATTCCTAATCAGCCTGTTCAGAGATTTTACGACACATCTCTGGGGCAGGAGGAACTTGAACCAGAGTCTGCTGGTTCAGAGTTAAGAACACTACCAATGCATCACAGAAGCCCCTGTTAGTAGTTGATGATGTTAAAAATACATAGGTGATGGCCATTGTTTCATGAACAATTGAGAAGGGCTCTGTTGGTGCATTCATTGGCACACTGGTAATGTTCCTATCTCTGGGCCGGGAGGCCTATGTTCAAATCCCACCTGCTCCAGTTGTGTGTAATAACATTTCCCAACAGGTTGAACAGAAAATATCCTTGAGAGGGGCCTGTTTGGGATTCTTGAGGCACATCTGTAGTGTCCCCACCTCAAAGCCAGGAGACCTGGATTAAGTCCCACCTGCTCCAGAGCTGTGTAACGCTTGTTTAGGGAAATTACCTCGTTACAGCAAACATATTTGGAAACTACCTTTAGAAAATATCTTAAAAGCAAATATATAGGGTCCTGAATCCTTTAAGGGCTATTACTTGTTAACTTGATTTGATTAGATTTAATTTCGTTGGTTTTTAAAAGGCTATAATGGCTGAAAACTTGGACATTAAGTTAGTAATTGGGAAATCTGTAATGGTGCATCTTGCAAATAAACTATCCAACAAGGAAAGGATCTTGTTTAGTATTTAAGCATCTGATTTTCAGTTTCTGAAGGTACCCTTATCATCATCTATGATCTATGTAGACAATACTTTCAGGTGACCCCTCCACCCCGTTTCAAAGAAAAGTCATTTACATCAAAAGGTTAACTTTATTTTTCTCTCCAGATACTGCCAGACATGCTGAGTTTCTCCATCACTTGTTTTTAATTTATTCATTTTGTGGGATGTGAGCATTGCTGGCTGGCCAGCATTTATTGCCTGTCCCTACTTGCCCTTGAGAATGTGGTGGTGAGCTGCCTTCTTGTACTACTGCAGTCCACCTGCTGTGCATTGACCCATAGTGCCATTAGGGAGGGAATTCCAGGATATTGACCTAGCAACAATAAAAGAACAGTGATATATTTCCAAGACCGGATGGTGAGTGACTTGGAGGGGAACTTGAAGGTGGTGGTGTTCCCATGTATCTGCTGCCCTTGTCCACCTATATAGGAGTGGCCATGGGTTTGGAAGGGGCTGCTTGAGGATCTTTGGTGAATTTCTGCAATGCATTTATAGATAGTACACACTGCTGCTACTGAGTGTCAGTGGGTGGAGGGAGTGGATGTGGGGCTGTTTTGTCCTGGATGGTGTCAAGCTTCTTGAGTGTTGTTGGAACTGCACCCATTCATGCCAGTGGGGAATATTCTGTTATACTCCTGACTTGTGCCTTGTAGATCATGGACGGGCTTTGGGGAGTCAGGAGGTGAGTTACTCACCGTAGTATTCCGAGTCTCTGACCTGCTCTCTGTAGCGAGTCCAATTGAGTATCTGATCAGTAATAACGTCCAGGATGTTGATAGTGGGGGAATTCACTGATGGCAACACTATTGAATGACAAAGGGTTGTGGTTAGATTGTCCTTTACTGGTGATGGTCACAGCCTAGCATTTGTGCGGTGTGAATATTTCCTGCCACTTGTCAGCCCAAGCCTGGATATTGTCCAGATTTTGTTGTATTTGAACACGGACTGCTTCAATATCTGAGGTGTTGCGAATGGTGCTAAATATTGTGTGGTCATCGGCGAACATCCCAATTTCTGACTTCTTGATGGAGGGAATCTTTAGATCTTTACATTTGCATTGGTATGCATATGTTGTATAAATGTGAATATTTAGAACTTGTATCCAATAAGTAATGCCTATTAGTCATTTTTCACTTTCGTTTTCAGAAATGCAATTATTCATGTCGTTAGTGCTAACTGATCCGTTAGTTAGCTGACCCTATATTGACAGAGAAAAGACTAATGGACAAGTTTTGCTGCCATAATGAAATTAATTAACATTAATTATCAAAATGTCATCAATTCTAACAGAATTTTGAGCAAAGTAAATTGGAAGAGGAAATGAGAAAACGGAAAGAACGTGTTGAGAAATGGAGAGAAGAACAACGCAAAAAGGTTGTTGAAAATATTGGTGAAATAAAGAGAGAACTTGAAGAGATGAAACAGGGCAAGAAATGGAGCCTTGAGGATGATGACGGTAAAATTCTTAATATAGACTTTGTGTTGCTTGCAATGAATTACTTTGAATTGCAATGATTATTGTCACATAATCAACACGGAAACCATTTTAAACACAGTAAGATCTTTGAAGGATTTGGATGCTGGGACATTGAGTAAATTTAAGGAGGAAATAGACAGATTTTCTTACTAGTAGTGGGTTGAAGGTTTATGGATTGCGGGCAGGAAAGTGGAGTTGAGGCCCTGATGATATCAGCCATGATCATACCAAGCAGCAGAGCAGACTTGAGGGGCTGAATTGCCTACTGCTACTTCTAGTTCTTCTGTTCTTATATTGACTATTTTGGTAGTGTTGGTTGAGGGACACATCTTGGCCAAGGCATTTAGCAAACTCCCAAATCTTTTCTAGTTAATGCCAGGGATTATTTTGTGCCCAAATAGCCTAAGCCCTTGATAAAACATTTATTTGGGAAATATTTCCAGGTTTATCGGTTGGTTATTTTGGATGATTGGAAGATAGAATAAAAAAGGCAGAAGGGAAATGGGAATCATTGGATAAATATGATTTTGTTTATTTGCTCATGGAATGTGGGTTTTGCTGGCTAGGCCAGCATTTATTGCCCATACCTAATTGCCTTTGAGAAGATGATGGTGAGCTGCCTCTTTAAACTGCTGCAGTGGAAGATTTGAATTATTTGCCCATGTGGGACAATATTCATCTGAGCCAGTCCAAGTCGACATCTATCCTCCCTTTTAATTTCCGTGTATTAAGTCTTGCTGCCTCACCTAGATTGCCAGGAGAGAAAACCACAGACATCTCTGTCTGCCGGGGTATATAGTTTCCTATTAAATTTGGAAATGTCTCTGTTTGCAGGGTAATTAGAACACCTAGACATGCATGTTCAATCTTCGTGTGTCTAACTCAGGATATAAATTGTCAAAAAGTAGTTACTTCAGTTTGAGTTGTATTAGATTATATTGGAACAAGGTCTGATTAGAGATAGTCAACATGGCTTTGTGTGTGGGGAATCGTGTCTCACTAACTTAATTGTGTTTTTTGGAGAAGTGACGACGAAGATTGATGAGGGCAGGGCAGTGGACGTGATCTGTGTGGACTTCAGTAAGGCGTTCAAGATTCCTCATGGTAGACTGGTTAGCCAGGTTGATCATATGGAATACAGGGAGAACCAGACAATTGGATACAGAACTGACTCAACAGTAAAAGACAAGGTGGTGGAGGCTTGCTTTTCAGAGTAGAGGCCTGTGATTAGCGGTGTGCCGCAAGGGTTGGTGTTGGGTCCACGGCTTTTCAACATTTATAAAAACGATTTGGATGTGAACATAGGAGATATGGTTAGTGAGTTTTCAGATGGAGGTGTAGTGGACAGTGAAGAAAGTTACGTCAGAGTACGACAGCATCTTGATCAGATGGGCTAATGGGCCAAGGAGTGACGGAGTTTAATTTAGATAAATGTGAGGTGCTGCATTTTGGAAAGCCAAATCAGAGCAGGGCGTATACACTTAATGGTAAGTACCTGAACAAAGAGACCTTGCAGTGCAAGTTCATAGTTCCTTGAAAGTGGAGTTGCAGGTAGATAGGATAGTGAAGAAAATGTGTGGTATGCTTGCCTTTATTGGTCAGTGCACTGAGTATAGGAGTTGAGAGGTCGTGTTGCGGCTGTACAAGTCATTGGTTAGGCGACTTTTGGAACATTGCCTTCAATTCTGGTCTCCCTGCTATAGGAAGGATGTTGTGAAACTTGAAAGGGTTCAGAACAGATTAACAAGGATTTTGCCAGGGTTGGAGGGTTTGAGCTATAAGGAGAGGCTGAATAGGCTGGGGTTATTTTCTCTGCAGCATCAGAGGCTGAGGGGTGCCCTTACAGAGGTTTATAAAATCATGAGGGGCTTGGATAGGGTAAATAGACAAGGTCTTTTCCTCAGGGTGGGGGGAGTCCAAAACTAGAGGGCATGGCTTTAAGATGAGAGGGCAAAGATTTAAAAGGGACCTAAGGGGCAACTTTTTCACACAGAGGGTATTGCGTGGAATGAGTTGCTAGAGGAAGTGCTGGAGGATGGTACAATTACAACATTTAAAAGGCATCTGGATGGGTATGTGAATAGGAAGGGTTTTCCGGGATATGGGCTAAATGCTGGCAAATGGGATCAGATTAAGTTAGGATATCTGATCGGCATGGACAAGTTGGACTGAATGGTCCGTTTCAGATGGCTGTACATTTCTATGATTCTATGACTGTGTATGTACTTGGAATGAATGTGCTGCACTCGCAGTTACTTGATTTTGTGTTAGATCAGAATGCATGTCATTTGCTCTGTAATATTCCAAACAGGTCCAATGCTCTAGTTTTAATTTTGGTGTCAAAGTCACACCTTGTTTTAAAAAGCATGGCAGTACGAGGGATATTGCAAATTTTCCATTTCTTACATTTCCCCTTGAGACAGAAAATAGAATTCAACATGAATAAGCGTAAGGTTTTATAGTCTAAGAAATAAGAAGGCCATTTATGTGATTTGGAAAATTATATTATAAATAGTTTAGAAGAGCAATGAAGGATCTAAGAGTTTAAATACATAAATCACTAAAAAATCTACTGTAGTTAAAAAGGCAAACGGAACCATAGTTTCATTTTTTAGATTGATAGAATTAAAAAGTAGAGATGTGTGCTGAATTTGCATCAAATCTTAGAAGACATTTGGAGTGCTCTTTGCATTTCTGGTCATATTTGGAAAGGATATGCAGGCATTGGAGTAGATTCAAAACAGGTTTCCAAGAATATTGCCTAAACTAGCAGGTTCACATGTTGTGAAGGGTGAGCAAGCAACAGAAAGGACTCATCCAGGTAACATCCTTGATTATTTGGGGTCATAGAACCCTGATTTATGCCATGATTTTTACTACAGGGCGAGGGGGCAGGATTGAAGTTTGCCTCCATGAGGACAGAGTTTGAACCCTGCAATGTTGGCATTATTCTGAAACATAAATTAGCCTTGCAACCAACCAAACTAACAAGCCATTGAATAACCCAATAGAGGTTTTAAAAATTACAAAAGATTTTAATCAATCACATGAAAGGACAGTAGTTCCAGTTTTGGTAAAGTGCACAACTAAAGGCTATTTGTATAAGAGGATCCCCAAGAAATCAAATATTGTCCCCTTTTAATATCCACATATTAAGTTCTGCTGCCTCACCTAGATTGCCAGGAGAGGAAACTACAGACATCTCTCTCTGCTGGAGTGTATTGTTTCCTGTTAAATTTGGGAATGCCTCTGAAGAAACTTCTTTTCATAAAAATTGGCAGTATGTGGAATTCACCACCATTAGAAGTATTTGTCAAGCAATAGTATAGGTTAATTTAAGGTGAGTGAGATAAACATACAAGAGAAGGAATTAGAGAGTTGTGTAAATAATTGAGGAAGCATGCAAGCAAGTGCAAGTGGAGCATTGACACTAGGTTAGGCTAAATGTCCTGTTTCAGTGCCTGTAGATCCTATGTAAAATTGTTGACTGTTCTCATCTACACTGTCTAATTCATATGGATTTATCTTGATTCAGATATCCACAATTAAGTTTAATTCTGACAATTCAGTGTGATAGAGTCATAATCATGGAGTCACACAGTACAGAGGAGGCCCTTTGGCCCCTAGAGTCTGCATAGACAAAAAACCCATCACATATCTAGACGAATTGCACTTTCTGCGCTATCACTCACTCGGAGCTCTTCTCTCATTGACTAGATTTTCATTTTTATTTGAACAGATGATGAAGATGAAATAATAGAAGGTGAAAGGAAAGAAGAAGGAGATGATGACAATGAAGAATTGGATCCATTAGATGCTTATATGGAAGATATAAAGGAAGAAGTGAAGAAGTTTAACATGGGAAGCGTGAAAGGAGGAAGTGAAAAGGTAAAGTTACTCTCCTAGAAATTATCTTAGTCTCAAGGGGAATTCATTCCCTTGCTATTATTAATGCTGGTTCTAACTAGTTGATAACTTGCAGGTGCGTTTCCAGATTCTTAACAGTAGAAAGTGCTTGCTTTTTAGATAAGTTTTGATTTTGCCCAGATCACCTTATGCCTGTTTTGGTGGTTTTGTGGCTGGAAAGCCAGGTGAGATATTTCGTGGAACCTTGGTTCCACCTCTCATGTGGAGATCCTAAAACATCTTAAGTACCTTTTCTAGTTTCAATTGAATATGGATAGAGATTGGTTGGAGTCCAGAATAATGTCAGGTGTAGACAGTGTAACTCCTGAATATTGAATGAGATGATAATCCAAAATGATAATTGCTTTTGTCAGGTAAAATAGGAAAAAAATACCTTTTATTCTTAAGTGTTGATATAATAACTGCAGTGAAGATAGAAATGGTGCTGAGTATAATAATGTCCATCATTTATACATTTTAAGCTACAGTGGAACCTTGATTATCTACATTTGTTTATCCTCAAGAATTTTTGGTCAGGACTAGCAGGGTGCAAGTTTTGTTTTAACTTAATTATTTTAAATACTTTAGAGGACAGTCAGTTCATTTTGTACATTTGGAACTTTGATCCAGATAATTAAGCAGCTATCTAAAGGTGTAGTACCTGATAGAATTTACCTTCTGTGCAGCTCAGCTTTATGAAATTAATGCAGTCATTTCAAGTCAAGGAGATCATCGAGACTGAGACTTTTGTTTTTAGTAGAATATCTAATTTTGAACTTGTAAAATACTTAATTTATCCACTTATCTAGAGTGGTAAACACTCATTGCATAAAACTCTTGTGAAGGAGAACATCAGCTGCCCGTAAGCAGTCCACTCCACTTTGTACCAATGAAATATATTGGAGGCTGTATCATTCATGAAAGTTATTAATGTTTTATGTTCACAAGATTCAGTTAGTTAAATTAATGATTCTGTCTTTTATTATAAACTTCCATGCTTCAGATTTTCTTGCTGTATTTAAGCCTGGCGCTTTTAATAACGATGGAGACATTTCAGATTATTTTATACTTGTAATTTAAAATTCAATTTAACCACTGCCCCTTGGCATTCAATGGAATTCACTTGACATTCACGGAAACCCTCACTATCTACATCCTGAAGGTTATCATTGACCAGAAACTCAACTGGACTCACCACATAAACACAGTGGCGACAAGAGCAGGCCAGAAGCTGGGAATACTGTGGTGGGTAACTCACTTCCTGACACCTCAAAGCCTGTCGACCGTCTAAAAAGGCACAAGTCAGGAGTGTGATGGAAAACTACCCACTTGCCTGGATGAGTGCAGCCCTAATGACACTCAAGAAGCTTGACACCATCCAGAACAAAGCAGCCTGCTTGATTGGCACTACATCCACAAGCATCTACTCCTTCCACCACCGATGCTCAGTAGCAGCAGTGTGTACTATCTACAAGATGCACTGCAGAAATTCACCAAAGATCCTCAGACAGCACCTTCCAAACCCACGACCACTTCCATCTGGAAGGACAAGGCAGCATATATATGGGAGCACCACCACCTTCAAGTTCCCCTCCAAGCCACTCACCATCCTGACTTGGAAATATATGGCCATTCCTTCACTGTCGCTGGGTCACAGTCTTGGAATTTCCTCCCTAAGGGCATTGTGGGTCAGTCTGCAGCAAATGGACTGCAGTGGTTCAAGAAGGCAGCTCACCACCATCTTCTCAAGGGCAACTAGGATGGGCAATAAATGCAGCACAGCCTGTGACACCCACATCCCACAAATGAATAGAGAAAAAAAATAATGTTTTTTGTTTCCAGAAATCAGGTGCAACTGTAATGAAAGTCATGACTGTGGTAACTACTAAAAAACCACATTCTGATATGGAGAAAAAGAAAGGAGAGCTGATGGAGAATGACCAGGACGCAATGGAGGTAATGAAAAAGACTGATAGAGACATTTCAGATTATTTTGTATTTGAAATTTAAAATTCAACATATGATTCAAGTTTCTCCACTGACTCTGCAGAGCTAATTTTTTTTTAAACTGAACAGTATTCCTCAGAGGAGGAAGAAGTTGATCTTCAGACTGCACTGACAGGGTATCAGACGAAGCAGAGGAAGCTACTGGAACCTGTGGATCATGGGAAAATAGAATATGAACCATTCCGAAAGAACTTTTATGTTGAAGTTCCTGAACTTGCTAAAATGACTGCTGAAGGTTTGTATTTACAATGCTAACAGGTGGCATTACAGCTGAGATGAAATTAATGCCTTTTTTTTGATTTGTGCTTCTTTAGAATATAATCATGAACAATAATAATTTAGCAAAGGGGTATAACTGCAACATAGCGCCTAGGTACTAATCTTGCAGGTTTATATCAGCAATTGTATTCTAAATTTGGGTGAGGGAATTTGTCATCAAAATTTATGACTGTTGCAATTCATAATGGGCATTATGTTTGCGTACTCTGACCAAATTATCCAGCTTGCAAATTCTGTTTCACCTGTTGACTACAGTGGCTCTTCCTTAAACAATTGATAAGCAAGGTTCGTAAAGGGTAACACAATCTGTTCTGATGGTGTTGATTGAGGGCCAAATGTTGCTTTCAATACTGGGGAACTTTGCTTTTTTTTAGACTAATACTCCAGTTTCTGTGTTAGAAAAATGTGACTGAAAATTATCACATTGAAAGTAAGCTTAGTGATGAAAGGAAATGTAGACTATCCATGATATTAAAAATATTACTGAAAGATATTCTGTATCCTTGCTGACAGTGAGTTGGCAGATATGTTTTTTTGCTGTCTGCTTGGAAAATTTTGTTGGTCCACTGCAACAAGCTGAAGGATAAGTGGGAAAAGTCATCTTAAAATGGCTCAGCTTTTAAGTTTAAAGAAAAAGACTGTTGTTTACTAAGTCATTCAAAGTTGATGCGTCTTAAATTATGGAAGGATAGGTTAGATGTTTGGCTGTTCTTTTTACAGAAAAGTGGCTGGTTCATGAGGTGAGTGCTGACTGTGCATTCCTTCAAAAGAGAGCAGGTCCATTTCTTGACTGAGCAGAGATCCCCTCTTCTAAAAGGTAGATGAAACACAACATAATATAAGAATGATCACCGTTGCTTCATAGACTAGTTATTGATTGCCCAGGGTGGGGGGAGTTGTTGCAGAGATTAATCTTACTGAAGTTTGAATTCATTCTTTTGCCTCTCCAGAAGATTGTATCACTGATTCTGGTAAGGATTTCATGAGCTTATGGACTTTTGATGCCCTTTTCTTGCCTGTCATTGTCATCTGTTTGCAATAATGTTTATTGTCTAGTATATTCACTTTTAAGTGCCTAAACAAAATTGCTATAAAACATCATTGCTGCTGTGGTTGATCTAATGAAGGATGTTTCTGGTGGCAGGGGCACACAGGTGTGGCTGATGGGGAGATGATCAAAAAGTCAAAAAACAATAAAGAGTTCATGGATAGTAGGTTTCAAGTATGAGGTGCAAGGGCCAAGGCAGCAGGGTCAGAGTGTGAGTGTAGCTAGTTATTGTTTGAAACTAGCAGAGTGGCAAGATTGATGCCTAAGCACACACTTCAGGTTGGACCATATGGGGCGTTCAACCAAAAATTGAATAAGTAAAATTGCATTTATCCCTGCTGCCCAAGAAATCAAGTGAAAGTTGCTACAAACCGGAAGAGAAACACCACAAAGCAGGTGGAAAAACAAGATACCAAGTGGACAATTGTGATTTTTAGTTCTGAACCTCTTAAAGCTTACATGGCATTTGTTGTATTCACTATCTTTTAGTTATCACTGTCACGGAACTTTTAATTGCATGACATCCTAAAGAACTACACAACTGTAAACAAGCGTAGGGCATTTAGCCCCTCAAATCTGTTTTGCCATTCAATGAGGCCATGACCATTCTGCAGTCTTACTTCTTTGACCCATATCTATCCCTTTTATGTTTTAGCTGAAAGTAATCTCTCTCTCTTAAAATTAGCAGTTGATCTAGTATCAGTTGCTTTTTATAGAATATTACGATGAAGGGTAGAGGAGTGCACAGTAACTCTGTTCCCACTATCCACAAATCGCAGCAAAAAATAAATACACATTTTTCCAGTTGCCAAGATGACCAATTAAGTACCCATTCCACATCAGGTTTTCAAAAAGATCTATCAACCATGTTTCTTTTTAAGCAAAATTCTTGGTTTATTATTAAATAGAAATTATTCAATGAAAATTTAATAATTAATTAACCGTCAGTAATGTATAAACGTGCAACCCTGTAAGTATATAAAACATATAGCTCTTAAGGAAAACAAGAAAAAAGATTTCTGTGCAGAGATTGGCTTTCTGAAAAAAATGCTGACCAATTGGTTATTCTTGAAGACAAAAGAATACAGCATAGAATGTTCAGAAGTCTGTTACACTAACATTCTGGCTGATGTTGTCAATTCACTAATTGTGTACAGTGAGTGTCTGAAGTCTTGCTGATACAGCTTAGTCAGGAATGTAACCTGAAGGGGCTATTTTAAAAGAGAGTTTTAAGAAACAAATAGATTTTACCCTGCACTCAACAGAAGGGTTTTAGTTTCAGAAATGAGAGATTTCAGCCTGTAAGCTTATTCTTAACAAGCTTTTCTCCAACTCAGCTTGTTGTTAGCAGGCTTTCCTCTAATTGAACTAGATAAAATAAGCTAATCAAAGCCGGTCACTCTTCAAAACAGCGCCAACAGGGGTCTGTAGCAAAGCAAGCAGTAATAGTCTGTCATGTGATTCCTGGAAAGCCTTCTTTAAAAACAAAACTGGAGTTATTGGATCCAGGATTCAAATTGGCTGGCACTTGACTACAATCACTTTGCCACACTGGAAGCTGCAAGTGGGTCAGAGTCCAGTTCCATCTGCTTTGCCAAGGTTATAGATAACTTCTTTCTCATCAGGAAGGGAACTAAACAGAATGTTTTTGTCTATGTTTGGGCAGTACTGAGTTGTTTTTGAGGGAGAAGCTGAAAGTTATTTCAGATGTTTCTCAGTGAATTGAAGTGAATTGTTGTTTGCAAGTAAAGAATGTTTCCTTCCTCTTCAGTAGAGTTGAAGGAGGAGCACTGGCTTTAGTTTGAGATTTTTCTTATGAGAGGAGAGAGGCAAGATTGATTTTTTTTTGGCTTATTGGGAGTGGAGGTTGCAAGTTGTCTTTGTACTCACTAGGGACAGGGAAGGCTACTCTTGGTGGTGGCACAGAGAGTGAAGTGGTAAGCAGAAATTGGATAATTTTCTCCTTGTTCAGTGGGTTGGGTTTGCATGTGGGTGGGATAGTTCGTGGATGTGGAGCAGGAGTGATGGCTGTCTAGGGAGAGGTGCTAAGCAGCATTCAGGAAGTTGGCTTTGCCTTCTCACCAAGGGATTCATTTCCACGAAAGAAAAGCATCTGTCCACTCATAAGGCTGACTGTATCACAGCCATGGTTACCTTGGCTTTTTCTGATGCACTTTTGAAGATGTTTATCATTACAATCCCTTTGGTGTAGTTCTATGTATTACGTCATGCCTATTGTAATGATTTACCAAACATTAATCAGTGTCATGATTTGTTATAGATGCTACGGCTTTTTCTCTGATTTGAGAAAAATGTCAAAATAATACTCCATGTTTCTACTGCATGACCAGTTTGAATAACTGAAGCAGGCCTTGCCATCGCAGTGACTTTGTGCTGAATGAATTGCTGTTTAAGACTGGTTAATTTTCTCTTATTTCTGTCATACCCTGACTATTTGACATAATACCACAATTTGATCTTTTCTCCTTGGTTATAGTTTGTGTTCTGGTTAGTTAAATTTCTGTTTACTATGATGACTCAAATGCATTTTTCTTCAAATGATAAGTTGCATGATGTTAGGTTATGGTATGGGTTTGATTTTTGTTCCAATCTGGGACCTATCTCCTCGCCCTGCCACTGATTGTGTAAGGCAATGGCAAATGACCAAAAATATTGCAAAATGAGCAGCAAGACTGAAACCTCATTAGACAATGAGCCAAGGACCTGGCCTGATCACTGTTGTAAAACTCATTTGCATATGGCCTCTTCAAATTAGAGGAATATCCCAAAGCACTTTTTATAGGAACATCGAGAAATGTACAAAGATATTGAAAGGTCGTCATTGATATGAAATGTTAACTGTATTTCTTTCCACAGATGCAAATATTTCCAACATTTTCTGTTTTTATTTCAGATCTTCAGTATTCTCCATAGTTTGTTTTTGAGGAAGTAACTAAACTCCTCTTATAGATTCACTCTTTGTTGCTTTACAGAAGTGAATGCATACAGATTGGAGTTAGAAGGAATTGCAGTACGTGGCAAAGGTTGTCCAAAACCTATTAAATCATGGGTGCAATGTGGGATCTCTATGAAGATATTAAGTTCATTGAAAAAGTGAGTATTTTCTAACAGTTACTATATTCAAATTCTTTTGTAAATGCACTCACTGCTTTCGCCAACATCGCAAAATTGTATTGTTTTCTAATCTTAGACAAGGGTATGAGAAACCAACACCAATTCAAGCACAGGCAATCCCTGCCATCATGTGTGGACGTGATGTAATTGGAATTGCTAAAACTGGAAGTGGAAAAACTATAGCTTTTCTTTTGCCTATGTTCCGACACATCATGGATCAGAGGCCACTTGAAGAATCAGAAGGTCCTGTTGGTGAGTATTTAGTCCTGTGTGTGCCCCAATGTCATAACGCTGTATCAGTGTTCATAGACTGTTAAAACTTGCAATATGCTGATTGTTTAAACCTAAATTATCTGCATGTATGTCTTGCTCTGTTTTTATGACTGAAATTTTCCTTTCTTTTAAAAAAAATTGCATGGCTTAGCTATTAAATTGGAACATTTTGAGACAATTTCACGCATATATCAAGAAATACAACAATTGAACAGAATACAATAAAAATACTGATAGCTCTAGAGCAATTAATAAATCATGGCATGCATATGTCATAGCTTTCACCATTTATATTGTTCCAGTAATTGAATTTGCCCTTTACTGAAACAGTAACTCACTTTAAATCCAATATAAAGGCGTATTTCATCAATTATTAATAATGAATCATTTGGCAAATTTTGTGATTGAATAACCACATAGATCTCAATGCACTTCACAAGTTTATGATATTTTCACCAGATTTTTGCATAAAGCACTTAAGATCGAAAAACTTAGACATTGAGTTTTATAAATTTAATTTTCAATTAGCCCAAATGTAAAGTTCTACCCAGAAGGGTGATAACTTCAACCTAAATGTTTTCTTGCTTATAAAGCTGCAGTATAGCCAATATACAAACTAGAATAGTATATCCTATAAGTCGCTTAAACATAATTACTATTACTTCAAGTTACTTGCTTGTCCACATATATGTAAGAAGAGATACGTAAAAGGAAATTATATTAAAAATGTGAAGGCTTGGTTAGTAAGTTCCTAGATGGGAATTTAATTTCCAAATACCAAGTGAGATTAGTAATCAACGTATAAGAGGCGCTGATTTTTCCAAAATTATTTGGAAGACAGAATTGTACAGAAAAACTTAAAGGGAAATTGATTTCTCATCAGAAGAGGAAACAGCCATCTAGGTATAAATCTATTAGCTTCAAAATATTGATTAAAAAGTCACTGAACATAATTAGGCAAAATATCAGTGACCACTTGGGAAGGTAATGTGATGTGGTCAGAATTGACCACCTTTAGTTTTGCTGCGCTGCATTTTATTTATGAACCAATATTTAATACACATGTGGAAAGGTCAAATATTTTAATTTTTCTTTTGTTTTTAGCACTCATTTCTACCCCCACCCGTGAGTTAGCCCTTCAGATTACCAAAGAATGCAAAAAATTCTCAAAAGCACTTGGACTGAGGGTAGTGTGTGTTTATGGTGGAACAGGAATAAGTGAACAGGTAATTATTTTCTGATGGCTTTCTCTGTTTCTGTGTTAAAAGCAGTAATTCATGTGTGGAAATTGTATCTCACTCAGTGTAGACTGAGAATTGAGCCCAAAACCTTTGTGAGTTTCCACTGAATGAATAAGAAATTATGTAATTGTTTGAGTCAGATTAAAGTAATTGAGCCCGCTGTTGTGAAATTCTTCATCCTCAAAGCAACTGATTTTTTAAAATTGTTAGCCATAAATGCTGGCTGATCTAGGATATGTTTCCAAGATTTTTGGGGATTTTTTAAAGTATTTCCAGAATCTGTAGTGTTTTGCTTTTTAGCTTTTAGTCCTGTTTTGATGTTCCACGTAATCTAGTCAATAGTTTAACATTTATTACATAATAATGTAACGGTAAATTTGAGTTGTCTTGCAGTATTGCAACTTGTTTTTTCAATAAAGAAACGTTTTGACATATTGCACCACAATAGTATTATTCTGGTCTATTCAAGCATAAAAGACTAATTTGAGTTTAATTTCAAATCAAGTTATATAAATTTCTAAAAACTAACCATCCAGATGAAAACCCTTTTAGCTGGAGCCACCATCCTTTGCATTTTTGAGAATCTCTGTACTCATTTGCCATGTTAATACCAAACATTGCCCCTGAGCAGACAGTGATATATGAGCACTGCGAATGATAAAAGCCAAATTGAGCTTGGGAAGCTCTGTGGAGACGGTGGTCTTCCTCTGTGCGCTAGTTGAAGAAAAGCCTGCGGGAAAAGCAAGTTATTTTTGGATTTATGGAGGGACAAATGTCTAGTTTAGGAAAAAATGTTAACTCCTAAAGGCCTGAGATGTATAGCTAGATTGCTTTGAAAGACTTGTAATGCATTTTCTTAAATCTTCTTTCCCTAGCTAAGTACAGTAAATCCATTCTTGTACAATTCTCAGGTAGTGAGCTAGATTCAGTGCTTCTGACTTGCATAATCGAGAATATCATCTGACAGAGGGGACATTTTTCTAAGTATCTTTTGGTATCACTACTTTATTGCTTTGTTAGGATTTTAACAATGTGCGTTGTGGACAAATTGCCTCCCATTTGTGCGCTCAATGAGTATTCGGCTTGACTCAAACTATGTAATATTGTGCAAATACATTTATCCAGTTTTTAACCATGTAGCAATTTAATAGGATAAACTTTTTTCTATAATTATTACAAGTATTGGCCCATTAATTGTTAAATGTCTCGAGGCAGTGTCACTTAATACATAATTTCATTTGTCTGCTAATCGTTTTAAATCTTTAGAAACTTCTCCAAAACAAAATAACTTGAATGATTAAGCAAATCATAATTGTTTCATAAACAACTTGTGATGACTTGTTTATGTATTTAAAAAACTATTTCTTAATCCAGATTGCTGAGCTAAAGCGAGGAGCAGAAATTATAGTTTGCACGCCGGGCCGCATGATAGACATGCTAGCAGCCAATAATGGTAAGTAGAGGGAATTGTAATCAGTTTGAGCAATAGTTTGCGCCTTATCAATTAGTAAATGTTAAGTATACATTGGAAGACACTTAAAGATGAATGTAGAGGGGAGCACTTTAAAAGGAGAAAGTGCTCAACCTCTATATGTTTCCCAGAGTTTACATTCTTTTTAAGTAGCAGAAGGATTCCTGTTTAGAGCTGAGGTGATGGTCATTTGTATGACTAGCTCCACTGATGCAAAGTAGAATGAATTCTTCATAAGATGCCTTCTAGGCAATAAGCGTTTTCAAGCTTGTTCATAATTTTATGCCGGCAGTGGTATGCATTTTATTACTCCCTCCCCTTTCTCAAACAACAAAAAAGTCTTTGCATTAGCTTTATTCAAACAATGGTTTTCTGGGTTCTGCAGAGGAACCTTACAGCTGCTGTTGTGTGGTAGGTCAGTTTTCAAATGCAGTATGATGGAATGCATATGGAAGTGAGCACTTCTCTCAATAAAGTCAATTTCTCTTAACATTGGCACACTTTCCTGTCTAAAATAATATAACATGCTAGAGTTTTAGATATTGAATAACAAACAGATTTCTAAGACAAAACACCTCTGATTTGGATTGATTTTAAAAAAGTATATATATATCGTTTGCCTTACTACACAGCAAGTAAATTTTTTAGTCACCGATACATTTTTATTTGGGGTCTGAGCTGGTTAAGTATTTGTCTTTGGCAATGTTAATTCACTGTCCATCCTAAATTTAGTGAAGATTGAAATTCTGAAATCACAAGACCATGTGGAATCCATAACTTTCTCAATATAAGGCCATTTAATTTGCAGAGCAACTTCTTCATTATTCAGTTTACCTAAGCATGTGCTAAGTGGCCAATTTAATCTCTTCAATTTAAAGTTTCATAAAATAATCAACAGTTTATCTGCCCATTTCTGCTGTTCCTGCGTCTCCACTATTCAGTCCTTGTGGATTATCTGTGAACTTAAAAGTCAGCCTTTTACTGTCAGACATGGATCAAGATAGAACTGATTTACTAACAGCTCTTTCCCAGTTAGATGCATGTGCAGCTTGACTCATTTTGTCGAAAACCTGTTTCCCTTTGTTAAATTTCTAAGTGTACATGGACTCAATCTCCTAGTATGACAAATGGTGGTATTGAGTGCTCTGCATGTTGGGACATTACAGGAATTGGCTCATGTGAAGTGCAGTGAAATGCTCTCAACTTGAAGGTCTACTTTTTGATCTTGGTCTCTTTCCCCAACATAGGAACATTTTTCTAAATTCAAGTCTCATTAAAGCTAATTGATGTTAAACATCAAAACCTGAACTATCTGAGGGCAGCTGTTCAGGGTGGTGTTCTCATACGTATGTTTTTACCTTATGTCGATCCACCAGATTTCTGAGCACAATGCCAAAGGCATCAGAAATGCGCAGCATATCCTAAGTCCAGATGAATCCACGTAATGTAAAACAGTTGCAAGTGGCAAAACTATGCCCCCTTTTTTCCTATTGTATTGTGCTAAGTTAATTAATTCACTAACATGTTCAACAGCTGTTGGACATCTAAACAATTTTTCAGAGTGTTAGTGAAAATATTAGCCATTTAAGTGGATCAGGGTATGGGGGGTGGGGTTTGAAAGGGGGGTTGCGTCAAAATAGGTCTCAAGATGGGTACAGTGGCAAACAATAGTCCCTCCTGATGTTTTTCCTTTTGGTGCACACACGACGTGACATCCAAAACTGGAAGTCAATGCGTTGGCACACCAATTGGCGGGCAAGGAACCTCAGAGCAGCCACACAGCTCAGAGGAAACACTGGTGACAGGGTGGGTTAGGTAAGGTAGATCCTTCAACAGAATAGATAGGGTTGTAGGGTGGCAGGGTGGATGAATCAGTTGGAGATGGGGGTCACATGGGCTAGATGAGGGGAATGTTAGTCAGGGGGAGTTCTGTCAGATTGAGGTGTGGGATGTGGCAGGGAGAGAGGGAGGAGGTTGGGTCAAGTCAAGTGCAGGGGGCAGTTGAACGTAATCAGATAGGGGGCATTTGATGGGGGACAGGAGATCAGTTTTGTCTTTAGACAGAATTTAGAACATTTCTTAATTCCTCTAATTTTTTATGTCTAACTGTTAAGATCAATAAACCACAACCATCTGAAGCTTCTGCCTTGAACTCCAAGCTGTGAAGACCTATGGGAGGGGTCCATATGATAGATAATTGCCCACCTGAAGTTTAAATTTCCAGACAGTTGCTACGTAGTCAATTCATTAAGACTTAAGTGGCCTCGACCCATCTTTCAGGGTACGTCCAGTCTCTAACTGGCCAAATATTTTTAATTTTTGGGCCTAAATTTTAAATTTTTAGTTTCTAATTTTTTTCAAGTAAGCACTAATGGTAAGGACTTTTTGTGCACCACCAGCCATGTTAAAAATGTTTGAATAACATATGCACAGCTCTGCGATATTTGCTGGAAGCGTGCTTTCCTACAGATCTTACTTGGAAAATTATGTTTTGCTAGTTATAACATTGTTCACAAAAACACATTTTAGAATTATTTGGATATTAATTACCGATGTCCAATTCTTACCAATTTACTACTAATGAAAAGAAAATCACAAGCTTCTAATAAGTACAGATGATCTATGTTTCTAATACTTCAGCTGACTGCTTGACAGGTCAACTTTTGGTTGGAATTTGAATGTTTACATATTGGCAGTTGATATTCCTATGCCTTTGTTTCTAATTTAATTGTTTAATTCCTTGCAGTCATTTGTAATTATCATGTTTGGCTTAATCTGCTTTTTAAAATCTGATGCCAACTAACTCATCAGATGGAAACTATCAAATTTGAGATTTATCAGCCAGTCAGGTTAGAGCAAATTTAGGCCAAAGTTAGGAGTTTCTTTGAATGCAAGTGATGGCAGTTTAAATTAACTTTGCACAGAGTGATGAGTGCGAAATGTTGAATGGTTCAGTGTTCTGGAGGAGGTTAAGCTTTCATAGGGCTGTGAGCTATTAAAGGGTTTTCTCATTTGTATGTGTTTAAACTTTGTCAATTTAAGATAAAGCTGGCGTCAAATTGTGGGCTATGCGATATATGACCTTACTGATGAATTTGACAAATGTCTCTTGGATACATTCTGATATTAGTTTTGTCAATGGTGTAAGTTTCTTGCTCTGCAGAGCTAAGTGGTCAGTAATTTTCCTCCAATCTGTTTCCTCCTTCATCTTGCTGTGTAGTAAAACTGCACAAATCTACCAAGATTTAAGCTCAACTCAGGAGCTGCCTACAAAATTATTGCTTTAAAGTAAAAATCAATAAAATCACATCAATACCAAAAAGAATAGCTGCGGGTATATGTGGATTTAAAGGTAGCTCATAATGACTTACCATAATTGTAGCACCTAATGTTTTATATCAGACATGATTGCATGAGAAGTATACAGTTTAATATTAGACAAATACTGTATGATATTGACTATCACTTTACTAAACTGTCAACATTATTTGACCCATATGGAGAAAGTTTCCTCAAGAAATTTGATTTGGGCATGCAAGACTTAACCCATAAGAGGTAGGTCCATGATAAAGTTGTGCAGTATCCTGTTACTAAACTCGTGGCTCCTTGTGAATGTGTCATATTCTTTGCAGAATATAAGCTCTACTGTTGGAACATTTTCAAATTTTTCCCACCCCCAATCTTTTTTTTGAGTTTTAATGTTCTATTATTCGGATGCTTAAAGTGTAAAGTTGAGCATACAGCAGCTCCTCACTACTTCATGGTTAAACCTGTACAGAAACAATGCTGTAGCTTAGTATAAATATATTGACTAACGCTGTTAAGCCACATAGTGAAATCCCTGTCTTCCACACATGCGGCGTAATCTCTAATATGTTCTTTTTCTAGGTGAGTGCTGAGACTTGTCAGATAATGGCTGATGTGGCTCCATGCTTCATCACAGTCTAAAATTGTATGATGGGTGTTTGTTTGGAGAGGGGTGTTTTGTTTGAATTGTGCAGGTTCTGCTTGCCCTGATGGTATGCAAGAGAAAAGTTACAAAATACGGGCAGCTGTTTTCATACAGCACCTAATGGATAATCTGTGCTTAAAAATGTTTTATTTCTGTGAAGGCAAGACAAAAGTATAAAACAGAATTGTCCAGAAAATATGGATCAAGTTGCTGCTTAATTTGGGAAAGGTTTTTATTTAGTTTTAGTATACAAATTAAAGTTGGAGATATTTAAGGATTGCTGAATGTTTGACCAGAGCATACTTTAAAATTATATTCTTGCTATCCCTAGGTCGTGTGACAAATTTTCGCAGAGTTACCTATGTTGTACTTGATGAAGCAGATAGAATGTTTGATATGGGTTTTGAGCCCCAGGTAAGCAATTTGAAGTAAAACTGTCTCTGGACGTACTGTTTGATAATTTTGATTGTTGAATTTATGTATTTTACTATGTGTGCATGACAAACAAAATTCACTGAAAATGATAATTAAAACAATTCTGTTTGTGCAAGCTAAAAGATCGATTGGCTCACTTAAAACCTAAATCCCAGTTGTCTCTTGACTGAGTGATTTGGCCGATGTTTATATAGAATACAAAGTAGTTCATAATTTACATTGCATTTTTTGTGGATAGATTTGTCCATTATTGTGCTCCAAAACTAGCATTTCCACTGTTACTCTACTCCTATAAATATAGCAGTTCAGAATTAAATTGTGCCCTCATCATTGACCAGCCATTCATTAGTATAATATATATCTGGTGGTTAATATCATTTTACCTTGCATTTTATGTTAATTATTACCATACAGAGCACTCCCCGTCCCGCATTTTGGAGGTATACAATTGATTCATATTGTATTTATAGACGCATATATTTGAATGTGTTGGCATTGTTGAGTTTATTTCAATACTAAAGTTCCTAAGTTGTAACTTCCAAAATAAACCAGACTGCTAAAATCTTTGCATTAATGAGGTAGCCTTATTTTCTTTGCCCTCGTGATCACCATGCCACCGCTGCTGCTGCGTTATGCCTAAAGGTGTGTGTGACCACGTGAGAGTATGTTTTCTTTCAATATTTCCCTGCATCTTGGGTGTTGAAAAGCACATGGGCCTGCTCGTCACTTCCACACAACAATGAGTCGCCTTAGCAACTCATTATCTGGGGAATCATGCGAATGAACTAAATTACTCTTACTTCTGGCATATACACATGTTTTCAGAGTATTTGTACTGTCACCATTCCCATTCATAACTTTTCACGGAAGCAAGGCTGCAGGCATATGACAAGGTCGCCGCCTGTTAAATCCTCTCCTCCTGTCTCACTAGCTCACTAGCTTAGAAATGTATCATCATTCACCATAGCTGGGTTAAAATCCCAGAACTTCCTCCCAAACAGTACTGTTGCTATTAACTGTACCACAAGGATTATTATGATTTAAGAAAGCAGCTCACCACCACTTTTTGAGGGTAATTAGCCATTGTCAGTAAATGCTGGCTTTGCCCATAACCCGTGAATGAATAAAATAAACATTATGTGCAGAAACAAGCCATTCAGGTCAGGTGGTCTGTGACTCCATTGGCATGACACTTTATTAACTTTCACCCTTGTATGCTTATCTGGTTTCATCTGAAATTCACCTTTGCTACTTCCCTCAACTATTCCCAGATTGGATAGTTCCACATTCTGACCTTTTCCTGAATTAAAAATAAATCGCCTCAGTTTGTGATTAATTATATTAATAACTAATTTTTATTTGTGGCTGCTTATTTTGGGCTCTTACCACAACCGCAAATATTCTGTCTATGTCTACCTTGTTAAATGGCAAGTATTTAGAGATTATTGGAAACTGGAGTTAGAAGCTGCAGAAATGTTCAATAAAATAATTTGCCCACGCCTTTGATTGCTTCCCTAATTTCCCTCCTCCCCAAATCTGCCATGAGGCACTCCATTCTCATTCAGATGCCCCACCTCAAACAGCAAGCTGCCCCTTGATTGGAGAATGGCATCTGCAGCTCACCAGTATACTTGTGAGACTAATGAACCAATTTCTTTTGGTGATGCATCCGCCCCCATGATTTGTGTGCAATCTTGTGTCTAAACTACAAGTTATGTGTTCGTAAAAATCAAAAAGAATGGTAAAGATGAACTGTATTTTTTGTGTATCAATAGGTAATGCGAATAGTAGAAAATATTCGACCGGACAGACAAACAGTTATGTTTTCTGCTACATTTCCCAGAGCAATGGAGGCCCTAGCACGACGAATATTAACAAAACCTATTGAAGTGCAAGTGGGCAGTAGGAGTGTTGTTTGCTCTGATGTTGAGCAACATGTGGTAGGTATTAGACAACAGTGCAGCGTCACTCGTGATCAATCAATTTAGTTCCACAGTTAACAAATTTGTATAGTAAACTAAAGCACTCCTTTTTTTTTAAATGGATGATGCTATTGTGCAAGTTGCATCTTGTATTAGTTTTAAATGTTTCTCTTTGGCCAAAATGAAATCTCTCTCTTTTTCGGAAGGATTTTACACGTAATGAGTATGAATGTAAACTGCCACTATTGCGCTAGTGCATCTCAAATAAAGCCCAGCTATTTCCAACAAAGCTAAAAAAAGGATAATGAATTGAACAGATCCTGAGAAATGTGCTTCGCAGAAGATCAAATAATAGACTGGGATGAAGAAACTTGGCTGATTTATTAATAGGTATATTTCCTGAGACTCGACTGCATTGACAACAATGTGAAATGGAAGAAAGTGTTACATAGCATCCTGGTGGCTGGAACTAGTTGGATTTCTTTTTCAAGCAAAAATGTAATGGGCTGTGAATATTCCTGACAAAGCCAGCATTTGTTTCCCATCTGTAATTGTCCTTGAGAAAGTAGCAGTTCCAAGCTGCCGCCTTGGAACATTGCAGTCCATCTGGTGCAGGTTCACCCACAGGGAAGGCATTCCAGGATTTTGATCCGGTGACAGTAAAGGAACAGCAAATACAGCTCAAAGCCAGAACATTGTGTATTCTGGTAGTTTTACCATGTGTCTGCTGTCCTTGTTTTTGTGGGTTTGGAAGATGGCATCGAAGGAGCCTTGTGAGTTGCTGCTGTGCTATCTTGTAAATGATGCATCCTGCATCACCGTGCAACAGTGCTGGAAGGAGTTGATATTTATGTTAGTAGATGGATTTTCTATCACGACTAAGAAAAATAGAGGTGGTTGAGCTGAAATCAGATGGAAGTAAATGGACCAGGTGTATAAGGATGCCCACAAATAAGCAAAGGATTCCTGTCTTACCCCATTTATTGTTGAAAAATGTGGAAACTTGATTAGCAGCCAGTAAACATCTGAAAATATAGTGTAAGAGTAAATTGGTGGGTGAACTGCATGAGATGAAATAGCCCCATTTACTAGTGGAAAGTTTTCAGTTGTAGAAATTTCCATAATTCCTTGCCATTACAAACATAATTTGAATGTTGTGACATGGAAAGCAAGGCAATGCGTGCAGGAAATATGCTCCATACACAAAAGTATTATTATGCTTGGAGGCCATCCATGCCATTACTTGTGGACAAGTTTGAGGTTTAATATGAACAAGGATGTTATGGCATGAAATATTAGTACATATAGAAAACTGTTGCCTGACTTTGCGATCCGTCCATCATCACCATCACCACCACCCCAATCCACAGTCATGTGAAATGTTTACAAATTCCTTTTTTGTGACTTATTACAGTTTGGATGGATCATGGGATTTAGGATGGGGATTATGTATCTGACAAACTAGGTTAAGTGGTAATTGTATGGTAATTATTTTGCAGAATCTGGGGAATGCATCCAGAAGTGATGCATTGAAACAGCTCCTAAAATCTGCAAGTGTTGGGAGTATTGAAGAAGGTTTTTGAGTCAGGAAGCACTGGGCATGTAGTTTAACGGTTTGTCAGCACTAGGGAGAGGATGTAGGACTCAGGAGCTGGAATATGGTCTTAAGTCTGGGGGTGTTTAGGAAAGGTCTTGAAACACAACAGAAATAACAGGGTTCTTGCAAGAGGTTTTGGAGCATTAGGAGATATGTTTGTTAGTGTTGGATGAATGCTGGGATTTAGGACTATTTGAAGCACATCCTGCAATAACCACATTATTTTTGTTTCTATCCCACAGATTGTTATAGAGGAGGAGAACAAGTTTTTAAAGTTGCTGGAACTTTTAGGCCATTACCAAGAAAATGGCTCTGTCATAGTGTTTGTGGACAAACAAGAGCATGCTGATGGTCTATTAAAGGATCTGATGAGGGCAGCCTACCCCTGCATGTCATTACATGGAGGTACAGTGGAGAGTACATTCAGTTATGTCCTCCTTGTAAAGGAGGTAACTGTCAAGGATGCTGCTCAATGAGCACCTGTAGATAACTTTGAGTCCTATTTAAGTGACCATTCTTCCGATAGTGACTGAGGTAATGGGACTGAAACGTTGTCTTTGTTACCATGTGAGTTATTGAGAAAGAAGACCATGCAGAATGTAAAGAGAGTGGTTAAGCCATTGTCATCTATCTTGTACCTCACCAAAAGTGATTACTTGTAGGCAAATTGAATGTGGAGGACGTCATCACTGAGCCGTTAAGTACATTCCAGGAGGTTACTGTTTAGCAATTAGAAATGGGAATTGTCATATGTTTCCTTGGCTGAGATTATGTAACTGAGCATGATTCAGGCAATTAACAGGCCTTACCAGCTTAATAGAATTCAATAAGAGCAGGAGTTTAGAACGCATGGCACTTAGTGATCTTGCTAATCCTCCCTTATTTCTTTCTATCTTGAAACCAAATGTTTTGATATCAGCACACTTGCTGTAAAATATTGCTATATGCTTCCACCCTGAAAAAAATTCAGGTATGGAGTACTTAGCTAGTGTACTTCTTTCTTTCATGGTAAATAAATAAGGCATTTGATTTTTCATTTGCCGTTCTTTGTATGTCCTCCCTTGAAATACAGGAGAGACCACATTATGCTACATCCAAAAATAAGTCCGAGATTTGTTAGACAGCAATTGTAGCATATTTGTGCAACTAGACTAGAAAATTGTTGGTGGATTTTGATTTGCACAGATGAAGGGAACGAGGCTGTTGTAAAATTGATGTGCAGCTCATTCTGTTGCACTTAATATGAAAAGGATTTTCTGTGAAGTACTGTGCATGTGAACAATGCTGCCTGTAATAATGTGATACAATATGTGATTTAACGATAATCCACCCGTTTGTTGATTTATAAAATCTCCTTAATCAACAGAGATTTAGAGAGATCTACAGCACAGAAAAAGGATGTTCAGCCATCGTGGCTGGGCCAATCAAAAACAGCCACCTAACTATTCTAATTCCATTTTCCAGCACTTGGCCCGTAGCCTTGTGTGCCTTTGCATTGCAAATGTACATCTAAGTACTACTTAAATGTAATGAGGTTTTCTGCCTCTAACATCCTTACAAGCAGTGACTTACAGATTCCCAGCACCCTCTGTGTGTAAAACGTTTTTCTCACATCTGCTGTAAACCTTCTGCCCTTTACCTTAAATCTGTGCCCTGGCCATTGATTCCTCCATTAAGGGGAACAGTTCCTTCCCATCTAACCCTATCTATGCCCTTCATAATTTTATACATCTCAATCATGTCTGATCTCAATCTCCTCTGCTCAAAGGAAAACAGTCCCAGTCTGTCTAATCTCTCTTCATAACTGAAACGCTTCAGCCCAAGCACCATCTTGGTAAATCTCCTCTGCACCCTCTCCAGTGCATATCATATCCCTCCTTTAATGTGAATTCCATAACTGCACACAGTTGCTGTGGCCTAACCACCATTTTGTACAGTTCCAGCATAACCTCCCTGTTTTTAAACTCTGTGCCTCAGCTAATAAAGGCTAGTATAAAATATGCCCTCTTAACCACTTTATCCACCTGTTCTGATGCCTTAAGGGACCTACAGAGGTCCTCTGATACTGCCTATGACCCTACCACTCATCATGTATTCTATGTTAGTTTGTGAAGAAAGTGGTGAGTTGATGCATCATTTTGTTTTTAGGGTTTCAGGATCTTAAATTTGCAACCACATTAAAAGTTGTTCTCATTAAAATGACAGCATAAAACTTCAATTTTGTTGCAGGTATTGATCAATATGATCGTGATAGTATAATCAATGATTTCAAAACGGGAGTGTGTCGATTGCTTGTGGCAACATCAGTAGCAGCTCGAGGGCTGGATGTGAAACATCTGATTCTTGTTATCAATTACAGTTGTCCCAATCACTATGAAGATTATGTACATCGAGTAGGACGTACTGGAAGGGCAGGTAACAAAGTGAGTGATGCCCAGAAAATGATGTGGGATCATTGATGAATTGCTCCGTAGTAGATTTGATTAAATACACTTGAGTTTAATTATTTCTCATTACCTGTCTCTTTTGTAGGGTTATGCTTATACATTCATAACTGAAGATCAAGTCCGTTATGCGGGTGATATAATTAAAGCCTTAGAATTATCGGGAAATGCTGTTCCACTTGAGCTGGAAAAGTTGTGGGATGATTTCAAAGAGCAACAAAAGGCAGTAAGTTGTAGTTATGATTAAGTGCATGATTGGTTTTAAAGATTATTTCACCCTTTGTTATGAAAATGTAAATTTTGATTTTAATATTTTGCAGCATGGAAATATTGTTCAAAATTAACCTATTTCAGAATTATGCAATAAGCAGCAGCCACATTAATTTTAATTCTTTTTTTTCCTGTTCCTAAGGAAGGAAAAACTATTAAGAAGTCTAGTGGTTTTTCAGGGAAAGGTTTTAAGTTTGATGAAACTGAACAAGTTCTAGCAAATGAGAGAAAGAAACTACAGAAAGCTGCTTTGGGTTTACAAGATTCTGATGATGAGGACACTGCCGTTGATGTAAGTATTGCAGACTGTGCGAATTAGGCATAGGATTTCAAGATTTGGGACAAAGGCTGTCTTGTGCACCTTGTTAGCATATTTTAATTCAATCGTTCCTGATCATTTATAGTAACTAATATGTTTAAGTTATTTGATTTCATGATTTTAGTATGTTGTAATTTTCTTCAGATTGATGAACAGATTGAGAGCATGTTTAATTCCAAGAAGCGTGTAAAGGATATGGCAATGCCAGGAGCCGCTAATGTTCAAGTGCCATCTGCTGGTAATGCAGAGAAACTGGAGATTGCTAAGAGGTTGGCTTTGAAAATCAATGCCCAGAAAAATCTTGGTGCAGAAGCTCAGGTAATAGATGTCTAATGTGAATCAGTGGAATGTTAACTAGTTTAAAGCTACTGTGGTTCAGCATAACTTTGTGACTATTTATTTTATATGTGGTTATTTTATCGAAAATTAATTGGGTGGTAAGTGTAAAAGAAAAGCTACACAACAGCAAAAATAGTTTTGATCAGGTTTGCCAGTTGAAACAAAGAAATGCATTTATGAGATTGTTTCCAGAGCAGGCAATTCAGAGTTGTACTGTACAATTCTTGCCACGTATAAAACCTAACACGGTGAGTTCTGTGCAGTAGGTGTTCTGCCTTCAAATGATCAATATAATTGTATCCAGTCCTGCAAAGGAACAGAAATTAACCCCAAGATTGTTTTTTTGAGAGTTCAGTTTGTTTATTAAATATAAATACATTTGTCACATTGTATGACACAGTTGCTTATTTGAGTATTTGATTTGCCAATAACTAAAGGCGGTTAACTTTGTTTTCTCTAGCCTGTATTGCCCTTGGGTTGTGCACTAATAAGTAATAGGATGTAATGGCCATGAGCCTCCTTAGGTATTTATTCGAATTTCTGTGACCTGTTTTCACTTGATCTGTGATGCTGCATGTTTGTCATTACATTTTTGTAATATGGCAAATTAATTACTTGATTGAAAGCAAAATATTACAGATGCTGGAAATCTGAAATAAAAACCAAGTGCTAGAGAAACTCAGCAGGTCCAGTAGCAAATGAAACAGTTCATGTTTCAAGTCTAATAAAGCTCTTATAGAGTCATACAGTATGGAAACAGACTCTTTGGTCTAACTAGTCCATGCCAACGATGTTCCCAAACTAACTTAGTTCTACTTGCCTGCATTTGGCCTATATCCCTCACAACCTTTCCTATTCGTGTATGTATCCAAATGTCTTTTAAATGTTGTAACTACCTGCACCCACCACTTCTTGTGGCAGTTCATTCCATACAAACTACTGTGTAAAAAAAGTTGCCCTTCTTGTCCTTTTTAAATCTTTCTCCTCTCACTTTAAAAATATGTCCGCTGGTTTTCAGCTCCCCCACCCTAGGGAAGTGACCCTTGCTATTCACCTTGTATATTCCCCTCATGATTTTATAAACCTCAATAACGCCATCTGTCAATCTTCTGAATAAGTCTTATTGGACTTGAAATGTTTACTCTGGTTATTTGATCAAATGGGTCTGTTAAGTAAAGTGCTCTTTCTGGAAGCATTACCATGCAAGAAAGAGAGTGATTTCATAATACTCCTTTTTTTTTAACCTTCAAACATGATTTCTTATTATAGTTTTTTAAAAAATAACTACCTTGACACGAACAAAAAAAGCACATAAACAGATTAGCAGCTAGTTTTGAAGTCACCTCTGTATTTATTTGGGGATTCACATGTTCACGAAGGCAAATTTTGCAATGCCCTCTCGAGATATAGCATCGCTGATTATAGTCATACACCCTAGGTGTATGAGTATGGTAGTCTGAGTTCACAGTTTTGTACAAAATATTAGCTAACACTGCATAAAATTTGATTGCATTTCTAATAAAATCGAAGTTTGGAATTTGGTAAAAAATAAAATCAAAGTATGCAAAAGAATAGATGTAAAATTAACTTTATTCATTCTTCATGGACCTAGCTATTTTCTGTGGATTAGCAGCTAACTTAATATTTCTGGAATGTCAGAGTTACTGGAATTAGAATGCAAATAAGACTCATAATGGATAAGATGTGTTGTCTAAAAGAATTTCCATTGTAGTTTGTTTTAATTTCATTTAGTTCTTAGCTGTGAACCAGAGGTCAGAATCTTAAATCAGTTAGCATATGTGATTGCTGGCAGAACTTCATACACAGTTTCGTAAAGGTACTTAGCACAGCTGCAACTACTTATCACTAAAGAACAAGGCTACACAGCACTAGATCACGCAATTGAACCACTTGAGTCACAAGATTCCGAATTTGATTCCGAATTTAATTCCTAATTTGTGCTGAGTTAGCTGATCCCAGCTGAAATGGCAATGCATCACCTCAATGCACCTTGTCCAGGCAGAGGATATCCTTATTCTTTCATGAGCTGTGGATGCCACAGCAAGGCCAGCATTTCTTGCATATTCCTTATTGCCCTTGAACTGAGTGGCTTGCAAAGCCATATCAGGGGAAATCTGAATCAGCTATATTGCTGCGTGTCTGGAGTCATCTATACGCCAGACCTGGTGAGTATGGTAAATTTCTTCCCCTGAAAGACATCAGTGAAGCATATGGGTTTTGAAAAACAATCAGTAAAAATTGTCATGACTACCATTACGGAGTCTGTCTCTTGAATTTAAGTTCCTCGAGCTGATGTGGTGGGATTTGAACTCCGATCCCCTGGACATGAACGTCAACTTCCAGATTACTAATTCAGTTATATTACTGGCAATCCATTATCAGCCTTGCTTCATATTTATGATCACTATTCCGAGATCGTAAGTAGGAATTACGCTAAAGACATCATTGAACTCTGTTGTAATGCCTCCGAAAATTGATTAGTTCGCCAATTCAAATGGGAAGACTGGGCAATTGGGTGAGATCCCAGAGCTTGCTCATGAAGCCATATTCTAGTGGAATTTAAGTAACAGGAAACAAATGAATGAAAATTAAAATCTCTGAGAGTAGTAAAGTCTTGTCTTAATGGGAATGAGTAGGGTAGATTTTTATTTTCATTGTTCTGAGCTGTAATCCGGTGGGTGGATTTCCCACATTTTTTTAAAACCCAGTGGATTTTAAATCTTGTTTTTGATAAAAAGAAATATGGCAGCTTGTATAAAGTTCATGTGATTCATGGTTTTAGATTGTCACTTGGGAATGAGATGAAAATCTACAAAAGCATATTTGTTCACTGCTGTACTGAATAGTTGAATGTTCTGTTTTGTATTCTGGTGCAGCAGTGTTAGTCGACACTGTTAATGGGAATGTCTGCTTCCTGGATGTACTTTTCTCCTATTTTCTATTCATTTCTTGCACTGTAAATGCTACACCATTTGCGTAAAGAAATGTCAACGATAAACATTTGATCACCAGTGAAGTTCCTGTTGAAAGGCTTGTCATAGAGTCATAAGGCATGGAAACAGACACTTTGGTCCAACCTGTCCATGCCGAACATAATCCCAAACTTGTGTCAGAGAATCAACCACCATCCTTTAATAAAAAAAAACCATGCAAACCACCGCTGATTTGCCCTTTTTTTAATAATAAGTCATCAATGGCATAATTAGCCAAGTTAAAATTTATGAACAAGTATTGAATGTTAAGAGTCCTATAATCGCTAGATTTTAAGGTATTTCAGGCCTGAACCAATAATCTGATTTTAAAACAATGAATGTTTCAACATGCTCTGAATGCGGATCACTTAGGTTTTCTTAAAGCTATGCTGTGCAATTTGCTTTCCTAAGTCAACTATTAAGACGTTCACATATTCTCTCCTCTTTCAGTCTTCAGTTTCTAATTGAGGCCTTTTCCCACTTGCTGTTTTGGATGCCAAATGCAGTTCTTTGTTTCCAATGTCTGTTTTAAATCAAAGTTCTCCATAAGCTTGCCATAATTTATTAGAATCCAAAAGTAAATTGCTAATTTCTACACAAAAGATATTGCAGATTATGCAACAACATATTCTCAAATGACTTCCATATTTTTGTTTCAAGATTGAATATAGAATGGTACCTCGGATTATATCTTTTCATGACTTTATTGAGGAGAAAAGGAGACAGAAAGCTGGAGAGAATGTACCACTGAGCAGCAGAAGTGAGGACAGCCGTTTGATGAAGTCAGCCAAGCAGCCAGGATGAAATTTGAGAGCAAGACTAAAAATTTTAAAATAGAGACTTTTATTTTAAAACTGGGAAGTAGTGTAGATCAGTTAACATAGGATGATTGAGGATTGAAACTTGAATGTGAATTAAGACATTGGCAGCAGAGGTTTTGATTACCCGCTGTCAAACTAAGGTAATCAAAACCTCTGCTGCCAGATTGTGGACTTGATATGTGTAAGGAGGGCAATTTTTTTGTTCTCTGAAGGATATGAGAGAATTAAATGAAGTTTTTACAACAATCTGGTAGTTAATGGTTACCATTACCCTCTACTTGCATTTTGTTTCAGATTAACGCAATTAACAGAATTTGTATTCCCCAGCGGTTGTTGTAAGATTTGAACTCTTGTCTCTGGATCGTTACTATAGGCCCTTGGATTATGAGTCTGGTAACATAACCACAGTGCTACTTTACCCAAAGTGCAATCAGTCAATGTAGTACTTTTGAAATGTTGTCAACGATGTAACATAAGGATAAAGTGGAAGCCTGTTTATGGAAATCAAGGTTTCACAAATAGCAAACTTATTAATGGCCGAATAATCTGCTTCTGTAATTTTGATAGATATATGTTGGTCAGGACACTTCTTTGAATACTGTCATGGAAAGAAAGAAATAACTATTGACAATGTAGCTGTTTCTCTGTAATACACTGAAGGATCAACTTGCATTTATATACTCAAGTCCTTGGATAGGGCTGGAACCCATGACTTTATGACTTGGGGGAAAGTGCTACAAGGTTCAACCAAGGGCCTTTAAATTTGCTTTGTATTGAGACAGTGCTATGGGAGTCAGTATCTTGGACAGAAAACTGTTAGCATCCCTCCTTAGTCCAAGAAAATCTCAGGGCTGAGAAATTGCCATTCTAACAGCCTTTATTTAAAAAGGGCCAGAGATAAAAATCAGGCAACTATGGACCAATTAGCGTAATGCATGTCATCAAGATAATGTTACTTAGTAACAGGATAATAAAAGGATGTAATAGCAGAGCATTAAGAAATACATAATATGATCAAGCAGTGTCAGCATGGCTTCACAAAAGTGAAATCATGTCTAAAAACTTATTTGAGGAGGTAATCATGATAGGTAAAGAAGAAATCGGTATTTGTAATATATTTGCATTTACATAAGGCTCTTAATAAGGTACCACACTTCAGGCTACTTAATGAGATGAGCCCATGCTGATGGAGGTAGTATATTAACATGGAGGATTGACTAGTAGAAGACAGTGTTGAGTTGAGGGAGCTGTACATTTTCAGGATGGCAACCTGTAACTAGCAAAGTGCCAGAGGAATCTGTGCTGGAGCCACGATTATTTACAAAATATATTAATGACTCAGATGAGGAAAGCAAATGTACTATTGACAAGTTTGCAGATGACAGGAAATTAGGTGGGAAAACAAGTGGTGTGGAATGACTCAGTCTGCAGAGGGATATGGATGGATTAATTGAGCGAGCAAAAATTTGGTAGATGGATTATAATGTAGTAAAATATCAACTTTATCAGGAAGAGTAGAGGATCAAGATGTTATTTAAATGGAGAAAGACTGAAGACTCTTGTACATAAATCACAAAAAGCTAGCATCCAAGTTCAGGTAACAGGGAAAGCAAATGGAATGTTGGCTTTTATTGCAAAGAGAGTGGAGTGTGAAAATGTGGAGGTCTTGATAAAACTAAACAAGGCACTGGTCAGACCACAGTTTTGGTCCCCTTATCTAAGGAGAGTGGAGACAGTCTAAAGAAGGTTAACTAGGCAGATCCCACATATGGAGGGACTGTTATGAGGAGAGGTCGAGTACATTGGAGTTTAGAAGAATGGGAGATGACCTTATTGAAACATACAAGATTCTTAAGAGATTTGACAGGTTAGATATTAAAATGTTGTTGACCCTCGTAGAAGAGTCTAGGTCCAGATGGAATAATGAGATGAGGAGGAATTTCTTCTTGGAAGGTAATGAATCAGAATTTGTTTTCGTGCAGGGGGCTGTAGAAACTAGGTTTTTAAAATATTTTCAAAGCTTAGATATACAGATTTTTAATTGATAAGAGAATTGAGGGTTATGGGGAAAAGGCAGGAAAGTGGAGTTAAGAATTATTAGTTTAGCCATGATCTCATTAAATGGGCTGAATGACCTTCTTACTGCTCTTATGGTCTGTGGTCTTAAGATTGATTAAGCATTTCAGGAGACAACTATAATTGTGTATTATAATTCTTAGTTTAAAACTTTAACTATCAATTTGCCAACTTTGAAATTATTTACCTTATATTGCAATATAAGTATTAAAGCCCTCTAAAAGTACACATGATGAGCAAGCTCCACACCAAGATTACATACAAATGAATTTCTGGCTAATGCTCTTAATGGATTATACGAGGTAAGTAATAGTTTGTGTCAATACACTGTACTATCATGAATGGAATGATTTACCCTTGTCACAAATTTCTATTCCATTTTAGAACTGAGGAGAATACTTAACTAGAATCCCGATCTTCTCTTGCAGAAAGGCGAGAAAATAAATTCCTTGCTCTCTTTAAGCATGAGCTTCTCGAGCTGCATTGAAGGGGCCTGATGCTAAATCATCTGTTCATCCATTTAGATAGCTTGTAGGGAAGGGCAGGAGAATTATCCATTCTCATATTGGCACTATATTATTTAAATTGTGCAAGTGTGTGTTCTTCTATACCTTCAGTTCTTCTTTCCCAAAGTAAATCTTGAGACATTGCAACAAAATTCTGTTGTTAAAGTACTTTATCATTCTCTGGGTCTCAAGTTAACCGTTATCTATGGCTAAGAGCATAGAAGTCTGAAAAACAAGATCCCCATTGAAGATCTTAAGAGTTGATCCTAAGCAGTGTTAAGCATTGTTGAAGACTAGCCCTGGCTCTGTGCAACTCTCTTTTGTTTTCCGCCTCTGATTTCCTGGAATAAGAGTTTGGCTTTACTTAATGTTTCTGCACAGTGGCACAGTTGAGGCTGAGAACTTGCAATGTGGGGATTTGAATTTATAATGTCAAATCACTCAAGTCTTGATATGTTGTGTCATTCTACATGGGAACTTGGCAGTGTTCCTAATAATATGCTGCATCATTTTTGTTGTTAGCTGTTCATTACATTAAATTTTTCCCTTTAAATTCAGGATGTAATGCAGCAGGCGACAAATGCTATTATGAGAGGCCGCACTCTCCAAGCTCCAACTGTATCTGCTAAAACAATTGCAGAGCAGAAAGCAGAGAAGATCAATGCCAAACTCAATTATGTACCAGCAGAGAAGCAAGATGATGAGAAACCAGAAAATGCACAAACGGAATCGTTCAAGAGATATGAGGAAGAGCTCGAGATCAATGATTTCCCACAGGTGAGAATATATCTTCTGATAGATTTTAAATTTGAAAATGAAATGGGTCTTCAACTTGAGGTTTGTTGATTTAATTGTATCAACTATATCTACTTTATGGTCGTTCCCTGCATCTTCACATCGTTGGTTAAAAATGGGAAACATATTATTTTTGTGTGATTAATTTTAGGTGACAGTCTGTAATACAAGTTCCAAATAAATTTTTCATGTAAAGCCACCTGACAATATACACAATAGTCCTGCTAATGCATTTCCTGTGACCCCTTAATTCAAGCACCAACATGACCAGCTTCAACCACTTGTATTTTAGATATTCAGTGCTGTGTCTTTGGTTCTTCATTTGGCATGACACACTTAGAACTAGTAATCTGTTCAAGAAACTCCCTCATTATGTATTCAACCCTGTTCTCCCAGTAAAAGTTTCATTATTCCAAATTTCTCTCACTCTCCCCCAGTGCAACTATTTGCTCCCTCAAATTCAATCGCAAATCTTATTGGTCTGAAGTAAATTCAGAAACCAAGAACCTTTGCATCATGTAAACAAGCACTAATTGTTTAAATATGTCCATGCCTTTATATGTTGCATATAATGTTTTATAGACTGCCAGGTGGAAGGTAACCTCCAAGGAAGCTCTTCAGAGGATTAGTGAATATTCAGAAGCTGCTATCACTATTAGAGGCACTTACTTTCCTCCAGGGAAAGAGCCCAAAGAAGGCGAGCGGAAAATCTACCTTGCTATAGAAAGTAAGCATTGATTAACTTATTTGGACTGTGACTTATGAAAACATTAGTTTATGTATTAGACCTGAAAACTGCAGCAATTGCTTTCTTATTTATTACATGGAATCTGCACACAATATCCATAACTGTCTTTTTGATGTTTAGCTAAAGCATACAATGTATTCTCAGTTTTGCTGTCTATGCTGTCAAATTTTATAAACTAGTGTATTAATATGCTTCAGTTATTTGTAACATACTTTCCTACCATTTTACAGGTGCCAGTGAACTGGCTGTTCAGAAAGCTAAAGCTGAGATTACAAGACTTATTAAAGAAGAACTCATTAGACTGGTAAGCAGCTTAATGGAAATATTCTTTGAAACCTATTCACTCTCCACAATGTTGACAAGAATCGCTGCAGTAAACTAATCTTTTGAATAAGTAAAACAGCCTGTTTCTAAAGCCTACTTTCTTTATTTAACAATAAACATCGACTGAATTAATATGTTTCACTTTTTTGATTGGATTCCTTTCGAGGGAAAAAAGTTTTGCTTTTGTGATCAAAGGGACTGAGAAATTCTCAACATGGAAAGAGCCTGTTCTAACCAAGCAGTCCATTTCGATCTTTATCCTTCCTACAGACAGATACTTCATATTTATCCATCCTTTCTCATCCTTTCAGCCTATTTTCCTTCATCCAGCAATCCAACTCAGTCTTAAGTATCAACCTACTTTGCCATCTCAACTAGTAACTCTGAAAATGATTTGACTAGCCTCACAACTCTGAACAGATGGTTTTCCTCCCCTCCTGTCTAATTCTTTGGGCAGTGCATGGCTCAGTGGTTAGCATTGCTGCCTTACAGCGCTAGGCACCTGGGTTCGGTTCCAGCCTTGGATGACTGTCTGTGTGGCGTTTGCACATTCTCCAGTGTCTGCATTGGGTTTCCTCCGGGTGCTCCAGTTTCCTCCCACAGTCCAAAGATGTGCAGGTTAGGTGCATTGGTCATTCTAAATTACCCATACTGTACAGGAACGTGTGGCTAGGTGGATTAGCCATGAGAAAATGCAGAGTTGCAGAGATAGGGTGGGGGTTTGGGTGGGATGTTCTTCAGAGGGGCGGTGTGGAATCAATCGGCCAAATGGCCTGCTTTCACGCTGTAGGGATTCTGTGATTCTTTGGTATTTAATATTGTAGCCATTGGCGGCTTGTTCTTCACTGCTCAGCTATTGCTGACAGTTCACTCTGTCTTATCCTCTCATACAATTAAACACTTGTGCCAACACTTTTAATAGAATGTATTAACATGCTTTCCAAATCTTGCTTTGTATTTCAATTACCTAATACCAACCAACATCTACTGAATTTATGCATAGTACTACGTTACATACAGAATTTATATTAAAGTTTTACATAGTCCCATCATTACTGCATTAAATTTGGTTCCAGATCTCTCGTAATAAAACCAGTTAGCTCTTATAAAATTATTCATTTTGCTCTTAACCATTTCAGGGCTCATACTGCCATTAGTAAAGATTAATTGTTGTTTTTCATTCGTCTACAAAATGATAATCCTCTCCATCTCCAATATCTCATTTCACTTTGAACGCTTCTGTTTACACTGATAGGTTTGGAACATACTTTTGATGTTTATTGGACTTTTCATACTTTTAACTTGCCTTATCCCACTCTTAACCTTGTCTTATTTTTGTTTATCAACTAATTGTCATTATAGTCGCCGTAAACTATTACCTTTAATTTTAATTGGTTTCTAAACTCTACATTTAACAGTGGCAGTCTAGAGGACTAGTAATTTTCTTTTTAAATGGAATTTACTTGCTCTGCACTTTGCTAAAATGATTCCATGCTGTTCTATTGTCCTTTGGGAGAAGTACGAAGTAAATGGTAGCATAAAAAATTTGAGTTTTATTTCTTCTCTAGGCCTGTAAATGTACTGTTCAATTATGTTTGTCTACCTGAGGGACAATGCTTTTAATCTTGTGGCCAATGAAAAATATAAAAATTAAAATTTGAATAATGAAAATAGTCTTTAGTGCAAAGACTTGTGCAACTTTGTGGCCTTTACATCTTGGCTTTAGGAGAAATGCATACATTCCAGTGCTATGCCTCTGAGCTACTTTATCATCCTGGTTTAAGAAAAAAAACAAATAATTTAGTGGCCGATTGTCCAATTTCACATCTCCCCCACTTCAGAATTTGGGGTTCCCTGTGATATGAGCGACAGTTTGTTCCACGCAAGCCAAGAAACAGTGATGGCTGAGGAAATTCCCTTAGTTTTTGAGGGAAAAATCATCTTTTTAGAGTCTTGAAGTGGGTACCAGGTTGGAAAGCAGTAAAAACTGGCCTTAACAGGAAAGATTAGATAAGTCTGGAATATGTGTACCTCTTGCGGTAAGTTGTTTGAAAAAGTAACAGTTTGCAGAATTTATTATTTGTGACCATTTGTGTAACTAAATGTTGAATTATTAAAAAAAAAATAAATTATTTAACTTTTTTTTTGTTACAGCAAAATTCATACCAGCCGACCAACCGTGGGCGATACAAGGTTTTGTAGGGGACCTGTAAAATGTATGCTATGTCTACAGTCAGTTTTGAAGATTATTGTTGGTTAATTGATTTATTTTATTCTCTCCATAATGTTTAAATTACAAGTTAATTTGGAAGTGTTTTTAGTCATTCTATAGAATCTGTAAAATCCATCTTGTGAATTTCTAGAAACTGTGTAATACAGTATTGGAGATTAGTTTCTGTTAATGTGTTAAACCTTTACTAAATCCAACTCGCTGCACGTGAACAAGAAGTACTCATGCTTTTGAAATGTATAAAAGTTGCCTTTTGTATGCTGGGATATAAAAATGTCAAGAAAACAAATAAATGAACATTATCTTTAATTTCATGGCTTCCTTTGTTGAATCGTCAAACTTATAACTTGCATGAGAAGTACTAGCTAGTGATAACAGTTTTGTGTAGCATCAAACATTTTGTCCTGATCTAACCAGAATTAAAGTAAAAATAAAAGTGGGTCAATATAATGCTTCATTACATTTCTGCATATAGAATCAATTTGCTGAATGTAAGTGTATTTTGGTTAGTTAGGAAATTTCATGCATCTAAGATTTTTAGAGTAGATTTGTAGCTCGGGTTGTGGATGTTGTAGTTGGTTGGCTCACCGAGCTGGTTCGTTGTTCCGCATCTTCATCGGAGGCTGCACTGATGATGTTACCCAGCAGGGTAGTGAAACGTCTGTGGAACAACGAACCAGCTCGGCGAGCCAACCAACCACAAAACTACATGCATTTTTACATTTGTCACACTCTGGTGTCTCAGCCCTGCACAGCAGTATTTATTATTTCTGCATTTACTGTAGCTAAACATAACATTTATACACAGACAACATGGATTTAAACTCTAGTTAACGTCTTTTAATCGAAGGATGGATCTTGGTCAGGATGCAAGAAGCATTTTTAAAAAAATGTTATAGGATCTTTTCCATCCACCTGAAAATATAGACAGGACATTGATTTAACAACCAGTAGTAAATCTCTATGTGCTCCTCATCCTCCTCCTCTTGCTCTTGAATCAGCAGAGGCAGAAAAACTACTGCAGAAGACTTTTTCTGGATTCAAAAGAATCTGAGAAGAAAGGTCTACTCAGGCAGTGCCTCACAACCAGCCTGACAATGACCAACATGCCAGAGCCACAGCATGCCCAGAGTGTCTGGTCCACCCAAGAAGCCACCATAATCAGCACCTGCTTGGAGATCCTCAGTGTCTCAATCATGAAGCACCAAGACTGGTTTGATGAGAATGATCAGGAGATCCAGAATTTCCTAAATCACAAAGGCAAGGTACTCCTGAACTGTCACGTCCACCGAAACTCGAGTGAGAAGAAACAAGCTGACAGACAACTGAAGGTCAAGGTGCAACTCGGTAGAGTAGATGGTAGGTGGATAGAGCGCAGGAAACTCAGCAACTCACCAGCAACCACAACATGCGCACTTCAATGCCATCAACAGTCTGAGTACCCAGGGACCTACTCCACAGAGTCGCTTATCAAGGACTCAGAGGTAATCAATGCCTAGTGGATAGAACACTTTGAAGATGTCCTCAACCAAGACTGACTTCACAACTGCTCTTGACACCATCCTGCAGCACGCTACCCATCACCATCTCGGTGCACCTCCAACCCACCGTGATGTGAAAATGTCATCCAACAGCTGAGAAACAACAAAGCCTCCGACGCTGATGGAATCCCTGCCCAAATACAGAGGAAACGCATTCTTGATGTGAATCCACAACCTTATTATCCTTATATAAACAAAGTGTTGGAGAAACCCAGCAGGTCTGGCAGCATCTGTCGGGAGAGAGGCAGTGTTAACATTACAAGCATAGTGACCCTTCAAAAAAAAAAATCTCATCGCCCTTGTCTGGAAGAAGAGCATGCCAGGAGATTTCAAAGATGCCATAATTGTGTATATCTTCAAGGAAAGAGACAGGTCTGACTATGGAAATTAGAGGGAATTCCCTACTCTCTGCCATAGGAAAGGGCATCACGAGAATCGTCCTGTTCTACCACTTCCGACAGGCTAAAGAGTTCCTCCTAATTCTTAGTGTGGCTTCTGCCGATCAAGAAACACAATGGACATGATTTTCAGTACGTGACAAATCCTAGAAAAGTGCTGCGAATAACACCCACCTCTGTACGTGTGGAATATCCTCCGCAAATTCAGCAGTCCACAGAAGTTTGCCATCATTCTCTGCCTGTTTCATAATGACATGCAGGCCATGATCCTCACCAACAGATCCACCACAGGCCCAATACAAGTGCAAACTAGGGTCAAACAGGGTTGCATCATCGCACCAAAGGTCTTTCCCATCTTCTTTGCCATGACATACCACCCCATCTCCATGAAGCTCCCGGTTGAAATGAAGCTAACCTACAAGACAAGTGGGAAACTGTTCAACCTTCACCCCATAGGCCTCAACCGAGATCACCACAGCTTCTGTTATCGAGCTGCAGTACACAGATGATGTTTGCATGTGCACAAACCATCATTGACACATTGACTAAGGCATATGAAGGAATGGGCCTCAGAGTAAAAATCCAGAAAACAAAGGTTGTCTACCAGCCTATTCCTGCCACACAGCACTCTCTCCCGACCATCAAAATCCACAGTGAGCACCTGAACAACATGGATCATTTCCCATACCTCAGGATCCTCGTCTCAGTGCGAGCAGATATTGACAAGTGCAATGCCAATGCAGCCTTCATGCACCTGAGGAACAGAGTGTTCAAAGTTCAAGAAGAAATCAAACCCAGCACCTAACTCATGGTCTACAGAGCATCTGTGGTCCCCACCCTCTGATATGTATATCAGAAACATGGACCATATACAGCAGACATTCAAATCTGTGAAGAGTTATTACCAGCACTACCTTTGCAAAATCCTGTAAATCCACTAGTGGGATAGGCATTCCAATGTGACCATCCTCTCCCATGCTGTACAGTATCGAGGCACCAGTCACTCATGACTCGCTGTGGTGGGTAGGCCATGTTGTCCACATGCCCAATGTTATAAAGCAGAGGTTGACCTCTCTCAGAACTAATACCAAAATACCCAAAGAGGAGCACCTCGCCCCATAATCTGTGAAAGGAGTGTGAAAAGTAGTGTAACCTGCCTTTCAGCAACTGCTAGTGATTAACTAAAATAAATCCTCTTACATTCACTTCATAATCAATAAGATAAAATTTATCTAATGCTAACTGAACAAATTGACTAAACTATTAACAAACTGAATAAATCCCTTAACTACTAACTATTCCTGAATAAAACAATATTCTAATTGTTTGCTGTTCCAATAAGTATAACTCCCACTTACATATAAAAAAAATTTAGTCTGTCAAAATTACAGCCAGGTTTATGTGTCTTTTGGAATGTTCTGTCCCTTCTCTGTTGATTCTTCTGTCAGGAATATTCACTAGTTGTGCTGTGGGAAACTTTGTTATTTAGATGGTGCTTTTCTAAGACATAGAGGAGGCTGTGACAGCCAGCAATTCTCTCTTGCGAGCTGAGGCCTGTTAGTTCTGGAGTCTTTGTCCACCTGTCTCCTTTTTATACCCTTGATGACATACCAATATTTCTTACAATAGGAATAGTCCTATGTTGTCAAAACCATCAAACTTAAATTTAATAGGCCTTTAGTATCTAAGTACCTGGTTAAAATTGATTGGCTAAGTTCAAAAGCCTGTTTGTCGTCTTAGTAAAAACTGCTGCTTGGCCTGCTAACTGTGTACGGCCTTTTGATACAAATAGTTCAATTCGGGTGCTCCCTGTGTACTTGCAAACTTTCAAGCTGCTGCTCACAGACATTCATTTTAAATCTCTAAGCACAGAAAAAACACATCTTTTAAACGGACCATGCAATACTTTGCCCCTAGTATTTTACAAACACCAAATTCTAACTTCCTGCCTCCCAATCCACAACTATTCTACCCAATTTTGCAACACCCACCACAAGAGTCCTTAAAGAAGTGCTCTACTTCGAACTCTGCAATGGTAAGCGATTACTAGGAAGACAAAGGAAATGTTACATGGACATCCTGGAAACCTCCCTAAACAAATGCAACATCCCCATGATGTGGGGATACACAAACTGGACAAAAAGCATCCACAAAGGCACCAATGACTTCGAGCATCATGACATGGCATGTGGAGGCCAAGCACAAGCTGTGATAAGAATGCACAGAGTCCAGACCCTCATCAAGCACCACACAGCAACAGATCCAGCAACTCTAAGATTAGACTATTCAACCACTACAAAAATGTTCATCCTCCCCCTGGAGTGGAAACAAGTCATCCTCAACCCTGAGGAACTGCCAAAGAAAGAAGAACAACTCAGCTGAAAACCAACATCTTCTGTACACTATGCATCAATGGAAAGAAACAGTATTTACAAGAAGACAAGGTGTAGGATCAAGAGTAGACCATATGTCCTCTAGTGTCTGCTCCACCAAGCAATACAATTATGCCTGATCTTGAACTTCAACATAATCTCTCAATTCCCTGAGATATCAAAAATCTACCTACTATTATTTTAAATATAATCAATGATGGAGCATCAAAAACCTTTGGCAGTATAAAATTCCAAAGGTTCACAGCACTCTGCATGAAATAACTTTCTCCCTTCTAATTCCTTGATGATTAGTTCCTTAACCTAAGACTGTTCCGTGTTCTAGATTCCCCAACCAGCAGAAATAACTGCTCCATGCCCACCTCACCATACCCCTGTGGAGTCTTGTATGTTTCAATGAGAATTTGTGTTGTAAGGTTATCAACCTGCAATGTTAACTCTGCTTCTCTCTCTCTTTGCTGCCTGTCTTGGTGAGTGTTTCCAGCATTTACTCTTTTTATTTCAGATTTCCAAAATCTGTAACAAATTTCAGACCCACTCCAAGTTTTAACAATGCTCCATGTTTCCTACCAAGTGATAAACCCCAATCAGATTGGGCCAGGAGAAACCCTTGGAAGTGGTGAAATTTGGAAATGTAGAACAAGACATACATAAAGATTAGGACTTCCACTTGCACTTACCCAACATTTTTCATGTGAGTATGGCACAATGGGCAAGAAGATTAAAAGTTAGCAGACCTGACCAAAACACGGATGATGTTTTATAGGAACTTTGGAAGAAACAGACAATGTAATAATATTGAGGAGAGAAGTCCATAGGAGTACAGAGGTTATAACATGCATGGTAGATTGCTCCCCTGCAAAAAAAAAGTGAACAACTTGGTATCTTTTTGACTATCTGAAACTTTTCCTAATATTAGCTTTATACCGAGATTTATTTAATTAACTTATAGATTTGAACTGAGCTCTGTGAATCTGAAA